TTCCTCACATCTGTTGAGGGCATTGCAGTAGCCATGCTTGGGCCGGCGCTGCTTTCGCCACTGGTAACCAAGGGAGACTGGAGCCTATTTTTCGAACGTGAGCCTCTGCCTAACCCACGAACGCGGACCTTGTTAACCCGGGCGACGTCCGAGCTGGTATCATACTTAGATCTGGTTACTACCATGATAAATATCTCCACAGAATGTGGGTGTGTGGTCACTCTTAGCTTCATTTCTCCCCATAGACCTTACTAGCATGGGTGTCCCTACCAGGAGCTTGTGCTCCAGCCTGCATTGCTCTATGGTTCAGTAAAATTACTGGGCTCTCCCACCACGACCAGGTCGTGACCACAGGAGCGTTATTATTATTATTATTATTAATTTAAAAAATAAAAAAAACCATTTCTTTTTAATGTATTTCTGTTTAATTAGTGATAAATTTTTACAGATGGATAGCTAAATACTGTGCATCCATGTAAAAATTTTTATCAAAAAGATTTTTTTTCACTTATCACAAGCTCTCAAAAAAACTATTGCAGAAAATTGCTATCTTATGCATGCAATCACTTACAATTTTTCATTATAATCATAGTTACATGCATAAGACAGTGATTTTCCACTCTGATGTCATTTTTGCAATTAAAAACTAAATAACAACAATTAGAAGTCAAACAATTATCTTTAATTAAATTGAGAACAATATTTTATAACATACTTAAACTTGTGTAACAATATAGTAGATATGATAGCTTTAAAATTGTCTTTTGACAATAAATGTTAGTTTCATACATGCCATAAGTCACCTTTACTTTTTGATTATTTCCATACACAATAAAAATTACCTCTAAAGCATCTCTTTCGAATAAACGTAATTGTAAGCACATATCTAATTTAAGTTTGCGTGTAGCCCACAGATCTTCTAATTCTTCCCTTGTCTGACTAAGTGTTTCTAAAGAATTATGTATTGCAACATAAGAACCTGTAGTATCTGTTTCTGACATAATTCCAGCATTTCTAAAACACAATAAAAAAAATGTATGTAAATATTAAACTCATAGAAATAATAGAAAAAATATATGTATAAATATTCTTAATTTCAAAGCTTAAATATTCAATTTTATGAATCATGAACATGTAATGAATTTTAATTATTAATATACAGTTTTAAATGTAGTTANACGGGGGCATTGATGATGAAGTACGAATGAGGTTGAATGCAGCACAGCTACAATGGAGAGAAGTCACCAGTGTTCTCTGTGACAAAAAGATACTCACGTACCTAAAATTCAATAATGCAATCTATAATAAGGTGGAACAATAAAAACTGTTCTAACTTTGTACTAAATTATAACTATTCTATTTTTTTCAATCATTTATAAGGTTTGGAATCAATTTTAGCATTTATTAAAGTATTAAGATGTTAATAGTTGTATATATCCAGTTCTTAAGCCAATACAGACAAAAAAAAGTCAGTTTTGCCTTTATGCCTTTATTTCTAACAAATCAAAAAACTTACTTTCAGTAGGTATATGTTTGCTTTCTAAATAATTCTATAACAGATATCTATTATTTGTATTAGTACTTGTATGTTGACAAACTTTCTCATCAATTTGTCACATTTGTGATTCTCATGAGAATTTCTTAAACTTTATATATGTGATGGACATCATATTCTTGCAGACTAACTGGTTTCCTCTTTCAGTGAACCTAATAGTATCTGCCAATTTTCCATTAGGAAGATACTGTATTTCTTTAGAAAATTAAGTATAAAATGACATATAAATGTAAAATTAATCTCTTCATACAAAATGTAAACTATACATGCCATATACAATGTAATTGTTATATTTTGTTTAATATTTTAAAAAAATTCAGTTTTTTTGGTGTTAATTAACAGTCTTTTTTAATGACAAATAATTTTAACATATACAAAATGTCTTCTTCATGCAACATAAAACAGAACAGTTTAAAAATATTCAATCATGCACCTACACAAAACTAACAATTTTTTACATAAAAATTATAAAATTTGCCTAGCTGTTTTCTCAATATATTGCAGAACTGAATTATTGATAAGGTACGCAATACGAATAGCATATACATCTGAGTATATAATAAGAAAAAGAAAAGAAAAAAAGTTCTTTCTGTAATGAAAAGTCTTCTTAAATTAGAAGAGAAGGTAATTGGTAGGATTTAGCCATATATTTTAAACAAATAAACAAGCTTTATGAACAGACTATGTACATAAGGGATGGCTGATGCACAAAATTGAGTACAGTAGAGTACCATACAATGTGGGGGATTCATTATGCATTATAGGAAATCATGTTATCGAAACCTGCATCATCACATGATTTATGAAAGTTTAAACCTTGGCCTATAAGTTGAAAAAAACGTATACCTCTGATTGGCAAAATTCGAGGGTGTTGCTTGCTTTATTTGCGTGTTGTATGGAATTCTACTGTACATGTTTACCCTTTATACTCAGGCTTGGTATAAAGGGTAAAGTTTGGTGCAATAACTAGGTAAGTAAATATTAGAACATAAAAATTCTATTAATAAAGAGTAGACAAATACACATCATAAAGGAAAGATGTCTCTCCACTATAAATGTTTCTGATCCAAAAACTTGTTTATTTAGGAAATATTATTAATTACTAAACACAACTCCACTAACCAACTCAAATTATTTGATGGACCATTGGCTAACCCTTTACAAATTTTTATCACAATCTTACACTAGGCTAAACTTCATCTCTGTCCTCTCCACACCCTACTTGTCATATTTTCGTTATATTTTTAGCCTTTATAATTTTATCATTTTTATGTAAAAATCATTATTTATGTTTGCATAGCTTGTGACTGAATATTTTCAAAAAGTGTTCTACATCTTTGTTCTAAATATTTTCATTCTATTTTAAGTTGTCTGATGAAGACATTTCGTATATGTTGAAAATGTTTGTGTTATTAAAAATGAACCTTAATTACCACCATAAAACTGATTTTACTGTAAATATTAAGCTTATTGTGACATACACCAATTTTATGCTGTACCTTATTTAGATAAAAATATTAAAAATTATTAATAATAAAATAATATATGAATTATTTTAAAATATCTAATGTACATGGAGGTCATTAGAAGCCAGAAGGGCCAGGTACCATCAATAATTTATTTTATTCAACAAACCAAATTAGACAAAGCATTTTAATTAACAATTATTTAGTTTTACAATTGAAATTATTGTTATAAAAATAACTTTTCACAAACTGTACTTGCAACTGACCCTAAAATAAATAGCATGATGCAATATTAGACGTGGAAATACTCACTATTACTGCTAGTTTTTACTAGGTCGTAGACCAGGCATGGCCAACTTGGAAAACAAACTTTTTTCACAGGCCAAATGAAATATTAAAATTAAAAAATGTTAAATACAAAAATGATTCATTTAAATAAACAAAATTTTATTATGCAATTTGTTTATGAGTAAATGTAAGTAATTTAGTACAACAAATTAATAAGATAAAACTAATGTGACGTGTAATGTGACACTTTGCATCACCTATTATTTTCTTAATATATGAGACTTAATTAAAAATATCTTTTTGTAATTCGAGATAAATACTGTTATTAATGTTAACCATCAAATGTGTTAATTTATGTTCCCCCTTGTAACGGGAATATCCCATATTACGAAAATAAAAATTATTATTATTATTATTATTATTTTCTTAATATCTGACTGTATACTTGTGGTAGCTATTCTTAACACAGCCTCCAAATGTAAATCATTCAATCTTAATCTTGTTGTACTTTTATCTAGATTCATTAAAGAAAAAGTTTGTTCCCAAAATAAATTGAGCTGAAGATTACTAAATATTTCTTGGCAAGTTTTTTTAAATTTCCATATTTTCCATTATTCAATTGCTTATAAAAATTGCACAAATTTTCTTGCTCTTCACGATATTTCTCATGTAATAATTCATTATATTGCATACTAATTATTTCTAATTGTATATCAACAGGAACGTCACCTACATGTACAGAAAATGGATTTTGGATAATAGATAAAATTTTATCAATTTTCTTGAAGCAATCGAATTACTATTCTACCAGCTAATTTCGTATGCACTCTGTGACCACGGAGTGCCTGAGGATCCCATCAGCTGGGTCAGAATACTGTACACAAATATCAGCAACTGAGTGAGGTGTACGGCTGGTACATCTGACAACTTTCCAGTGAACATTGGCATTCATCAGGGCTCCACACTGTCACCACTGCTATTCATTCTCATCATGGACTATCACAAAGAATATACAGAAGGATGTGCCTTGGATGCTGCTTTTTGCCAATGACATCATGCTTGCAACCACCACTTGAGAAGAGCTACAGTGCCAGGTGCAGGCCTGGAGTAACCGTCTGAGTAGCTTTGGCTTGTGCCTTAACACCAATAAGACCAAATATCTAGAAATTTTTCCAAATGTGGGCACGATCCAGGTCAATAGTGATAACTTACATATATATAAAACGCACACTTTTCGCTACCTTGGCTCAACCCTACAGAGTAACGGGGGCATTGATGATGAAGTACGAATGAGGTTGAATGCAGCACAGCTACAATGGAGAGAAGTCACCAGTGTTCTCTGTGACAAAAAGATACTCACTACCTAAAATCAAAAATCTACCGGACTGTGGTACGACCCATCACTCTCTATGGTTCTGAATGTTGGCCATCAACGAAAGCAGCTGAATGGCATCTCCATTCCATGGAGATGCACATGGCTCACAGGATGATTGGTGTATCCCTCCTCGACCATATCACCAATGACACGATACACCAACAATTTGGCATTGCACCCATTGAGGCAAAAATGAGAGAGAGAGAGACGCCTGCGCTGGTTTGGCACGTCTGACAATCAGCCCCAGATACAGTTGGCACAATTGCCTACCACCTAGAGGTGAATGGCCGCTGCCACACGGAAGACCAAAGCAACAATGGCAAGACACTATCAATGCAGACATAAGGACTCTGCATCTGAACCCAGATGATACAGTCAATTGAACAAAGTGGCATTTGAAGATCCGAATAGCAGACCCTACATCTACGAGACAACACTAAGAAGAATTGAATTGATGCTTGAAATCTGTCATTAGTGAAAGGATATTGTTATTAAATTCTTAAACCTTTTCTCTTGAAATATTTAAAGATATGGTCTCTAACATTGGAAAATGATCAAATTTGCATTTAGCCAGATTTCTAGAAAAAAGGCTAAGCTTCATTTGAAAAGATTTTAGCCTTTGTATTAAATCACGAGCATATAAATTTTTCCCCTGTAAACATATGTTAAATTTGTTAAAATGTGTGAAAATATGCAAAGAAAATGCTAAATCACAAATCCAATTTGGGTCTGATAATTCAGGAAAATCCTCATTTTTTTTAAGCATTAAAAACATTTTTATTTCCTCTTGAAGATCTCACACGTCTTAAAACTTTTCCCAAGCTTCACCAACAGATTTTATTGTGATCTAACATGTTTGATATTTGTGATCTAACATTTTATTGTACATCTAAATAACTGGTATTTAGTTCTTCAAGGAGTGCAATAAACTGTCTGTGTTTTAATCCTTTTGATCGAAAGAAATTCACTAATTTCACAACTATGTTTATAACATGATCAATTTTTAAAACATTTTTGCATAATGCATGTTAATGAATAATGCAGTGTATGGATATAATTTTATGATTTAGATCAATTTCAGAAATTCTGTCTTCAATTTGTTTCATGAGACCAATATTTTTCCAATCATATTTGGTGATCCATCTGTTGTTACATTCACTAATTTTTTCTAGTCAATATTGTATTTCAAAATACATTTTTCAATCTCTCGGAAAAGATCTCCCTTTGTTGTCTTTCATAGGAACAATTGACAGTTCTTCTGAAATTTGAAAATCTTCAGTGATAGCTCTGATAAAAATTAATAACTGAGCAGTATCCTTTACATTGTAACTTTCATCAAAAGCTATTGCATAGAAATGAGCTGATTATAAATTATTCAGTAACTGCTCATTTAAATTAGCATTTATATCTTTTATTCTTTGGGCAACAGTTTGCTGAGACAGACTTATATTTTCAAATTTATGTTTAGTTTCTGGACACATTACATCACAAACATCCAACATGCATTTGTTTACAAATTCTCCTTCAGCAAAAGGTTTTCCACATTGAGCAATCCATTTTGCTACTAGCAAACTTGCTTAAGTAGCAGATTCTTGTAATTGATTTTGCAGTGCAATTATATTTTGTTGCTGGGTCAATTTTACTACAAGATCTATGGCTTGTTTTTTCAGCTTTATTCATTTAAATTTTGTGCGTAAGTTGCGTGTTTCGTTTTAAAATGTCTTCTTAAGTTGTACAGTCGACCCCCCTATAACGTGGGTTCCTATAACAGAAATTCCTATAATGTAGCGAAAAAATTGTAGCAATATTCATATAAAGGAACTCCTAAAATGTCACCACCGACTCGTGTCGCGACAAGATTGATAGAATCTGGACCAATAGTAAATGAGCAGCCGAACTACTTTCCTCCACCCTGCACCACGCTACGAAGAGTTTAGGCGGCTAAATTGAGTTTGCTATCGTCTGTACAGCATTATATATAAATTAGGTACTGTACATATAATTATATATTAATTATATATAAATTAGGTACTGTATATATAATTATATATTAACTTAATTTATTGTAACTTTATTATAATTATATATATGCTTTCTGCCGCCTGGCAACACGCTACGGAGATTTTAGGCTAGTAAGTTGAGTTTATTATCGTCTGTACAGTATGTAAATTAGGTATCGTAAGTGTAATACAGTACTGTAATTTTATACATTTCTTGTGAAAGAAACATTTCTTATTCAACGGCCATAAAAATTATTTATATTAATGATGTCTCCAAAGGTCAAGTTATTTTTCTGCAAAAAATTCTTTATCAGAAATCGCGGCTGCCATTTCGTGTGCTGTTCGTGACAAAAACAAGCTTGAGCAACGGCGTAGTCGAACGGTGCACACTCGGTAAGTAATCCTACAATTTTTTATTTATAGCATAGTTTATACAGATTATTCCCAAAAAATTAATTGCAGTAATCTTTACTAAATAATAATCTCTAAATATTTAACTTTTCTAATATTTTATTTATCATCAGATTTCAATTCCATTGGCATGCAGATTATGAACTTTACATGACAATATATAACAAAATTCTCATCCTAAAGAATAGATGAGAAAGGCTGTATCATCATAATACTCTAAAATAAAAATTATTCTCAAAATAAAATGAATATCTCTTTTTTAAATTAGTTATTAAAAGACAGAAAACATACTTGAGATTATTATTATTATTATTCTTTAAGTTATGGAATATCAATACTATGTCAAATAAAAGATTAAGTTTGAATTATAACTGACAAGAATAATTCTTTAATGGTGTAAAGTTTTGCTATTTACCTTAGCTCTTCAAGCAGTGCATCACCTTCATTAATAGTTCTTACAGCAGCATCAATTGTAGAATCCCGCTGTTTACTGAACTGTTCTAACAATTGTTCTGCTCCTTCAACAGTGTCTGCTATTTCATTGCTCTGTAACTCTTGTCTTAGTTCATCAAACCAATTAGACAACTAAATGTAATTATAGAAAAAAAGTTAAACAAATAACACAATTTTAAAAACCATTTATATAATTCATAATATTAATTATAAAATACTACTAACAATATATATGCAATATTTTGGAAAGCTATATTACAGTTTATTTCATTGTTTCTAAAGGAGTTATAAAAAAATTTTTAAATGACATAATAAAATAAAATGATATTAATTTCCAAATGTAACTACTAAAATGAATAATTTTTTATTTTCAAATAACTGCTATGTTAAATATTATACTTTTCTTCTGACTTCATCAATATATTTTAAAAACCAAAACTCAAGTAAAGTTACAGAATTCATAAAATAATTATTTAAGAACATTTTCAAAGATTAATTCACAATTTGTATATATTCATTATTTAATTATTATAGAAAAATTTCAAAGTATAGTGAAATTAACTGCAAAAATGACAAAATATGTTGAAAAGGTAGACTGACTGTGTTCACTGAGCAAGTACAATGCAGTCTAGTGAATATATGATGTTGCTAAGCATCTGACATAGCCGTTTACTAGCTGGATTAAAAAATGGTGTCCCCAATTCATTGTTATACTGATGAGATTTTTGCAAGATCATAGAATCTATTAATATTCATCAAAAGTTGCATTGTTTTGCTTCAGGGAAGAAATAAAATTCAATGGAATAATGTCATCCAATTCCCTGAGAGTCAATAAAGTTTACTTTGATTCTAAGTCTAGCGAATAAGGAGGATTGAAATGTCTTCAAAGTTTATGATGTTTTTCAGCAACTTCACACTAGCATTTGCTGTCTGAGGCCTGGCATTACTGTCTGTGGAAATATCTTTGTCTCAAGTAACATCAGCAAGATAAGTCATGCATTGGAACAGTGGCACACTACATTCAAGATTAGACATGTATTTTCCTTTAATAAATCAATGTTACAGATCAATTTTGCAGATTTAATTTTATTCTATCTTGTAAATAAATAATCAATTATAATTTCTGAATTCTATAACTTTAGTTTGAGTATAATAAAATAAGAATTTCAATGTATTAAAAACTAATAATGCAAAACAAAACTACATGAAATTGATAATGCTTTACAAAATTTTATTGTTATAGTAACAAATGAAAGGCTACAGTTTTGTCAATTAAATAAATTCAATAGACAAAGAAATCATATTTTAAGGTTCTAAATTCTTTAATTCTGTCATTTTATTTAACCAAGATAATAAAATATAAATAAATTTATTTAAAACAAATAATTTTAATTGTTGAAGCAAGAAAAAAAACCATATCTTGTATAATAAAAAAAAATTATGTAATAATAATAAAAAAAAGGAAGACTGAATATGCTAAAATATTAAGGTAATATATATAATATAAAATTTTTAAGAAAATATTGAAATCAAGAAATAAAGAAATAGTCTGTTTCTAATTAGAAAATGCACATTAAATAAAAATATGACTCAATACAACTACATAAAATATATTTTTGAAAAATCAACAATTCTTGAAACTATTTCAAGAATTATGAAACTGCTCATTTTATTCAATTAGTAATTTCTTTAAATGATGATGATGATGATGATGATGATGATGATGATGATGATGATTTAAATTCTTAATCTAACACTGAGTGATTTATTAATTCAACTATGCATAAAAATATGTAAGGAATCAAGTCCGAGCGTTATTTTCAGTTATTTTTTATTTTGCTTTTTATTCTATTTTGTTTGGGGCTTATGTTTTGTTAGGACGAAGGTTTCCTCACCAATTACCTTAAAAACTTAAAAATAGAAGAAAGAGAACCAACTCACCAACAAGAAAAAGCACTATAGAAAAAAAACTCGCGCACACTTGCACTCCTGAGTGGAAAAAAAATAAGTTCACACTGAGAAAGAGGGGGAGACCCCCACAAGCACAACTTAGGAACTTGCTAAACCTTAAAGAATAAAACATCCTGAAATTGTAAAAAAGAGTAATGTAAAAGGTTAGCGAGTATTGTCGGGAAATAGGCTGCCAGGCAGAAAGGAAAAGTTGACTGTTAGCAATAAGTATGTAAATGAGGGGAGTGATCTCACTCAGAATTGTGACGTCACCTCACAGTATAAAATCCGAACCTCAAGTGAAAATGACCAAGGTGAGCTTCTGTTATCAACGAACATGGTGAATTTTGTAGCAGCAAATGACAAGAGGTGTCCGATAGCGCTAAAGTGGTTCCAAGAAGATTTTGAAGTTATTCAATTTGTGGATCGAAGATTAGAGAAAGTCTTGAGAGTTCAGGAAAAAGGTTCCTAGTATATTGAGGCGACGATTAGGACCTTAGTTCATAAGAATTGTTGTACATAAGTTAAGTCTGAAATTTTTGTCGCGTTCCAAAGGGGAATAGATTTAAGTTAGCAAATAGATTGATTTGAATTTTGTCGGGTTGATTCTTATCGATTTTTTTTTCTTTGAATAAATTTGTTGTTGATTGTTACTAAAATTTTGTACATAGTCATTATTAGAATTATTAAATATTGAATTTGATTTTGACTAACTCTGTCATTATTTAATTTGGTGCACACTTAAAGTCCAGGCCTGGCACATTAACGCAAATCTGCGTAAAGTACCGTTAGGTAACGGATATTTCCGGCACAAAGTTTTATCACTAATCGTTGTAAAAGGCGTAAAAATAATATAGTACTTTACAAATATTTTTTTAAAATTTTACTGTCTTCTTCCAAAATTAATGCTCGTTTAATTACTAAACTGAAACAAATTAGTCAATTAATTTTACTTTTTCAAATGATAAAACTCAAAATAATTTGTCAAAAGCACAATTTTACAACTAAATTTTATACGCTAATAATAATGCTAGTTTGTTGTTTTTCATTAATGCTTTATCCATTCCATACAGTGAAAACAAAGTCAGTGAAATTATAGCTCCCTCTAAACCAGTTCTGTTCTGATTCGATGTTGTTCTGCAACTCTGATTTTTGAGATTTGTATTCCCAAAATGAAATTTTTGAACCAATTTCTGAAGGCCTGCTCACTCACAAACCTTCACCAAAAGTTTTCTAGGTATTTTGGGTTGCTTCAGTTGCATTACGTCCCTGCTTATACTTGAAAAAAGAAAATTATTCAATGTCCTTTTTTTCCATGCCATCAGAAAAAGTATTCTTAAACATGTAAGACTCACAATATAAATGAGATTACATTTTTAAATTCACATATTATTCCAATTGCAAACACTCAGCACTGTTCACATGGAAAAAAGTTGAACTACAAGGCTGGAAATTTTAAATTTTAAAAAACAGCCATTTAACTTGCAATGACCAATAAACTGTATCGCAGATGATAACTAAAGCAAAGAACTTATTGATCTTAGGACAAAAGACTTACTACAGTTGGAATTTAACTCAAAAGCCTTGGAGAATTCTGGTGTTCACTAAGAGAAGCTTATCCTTGTCTTGAAAATAAGCAATGGAAGCTTTGCTTCCATTTGCAACAATATATCTTTGCAAATTGGAATTTTCAACATTTGTAACAATGAAAACAAAAAGTTGAAATTGATTTGATGTCCAACATGATATGCATGTTGCCTTGTCAAATACCACACCACAGTTCTAAGTTCTAATTGAAGATAAACAACAACCTCTTCATACTGACATGTCTTTAAAAAATATAATTTAACTTTAGCTTTCCTATTTTTTAAATACAGTGTATTATTATTATTTAATGTATGAAAAAAGATTCATTGTGTTTTTTATTTTGGTGCTGTATTTCAATAAAACTGAATTCCTTTACAATTTTATGCTTTGCATTTAAAAACATTTTTCTGAGAAGAGGTCCATGGCCTTACCTGACTGACAAAGAAGTCCATGGAATAAAAAAGGTTAAGAACTTTTGCTCTAAACTGTATACTTGTACACTAATATAGTAATTTTGAAAATGGTTTTTTTAATACACAATGCATTTTACAACTGAATAAATTTATAAAAATAATTTTTAAAAAATTAATTATTTTGTGATTATTTAACTTTACAGTATACTATCCCATCCCATAAAATATATATTAAGTACACAAAGTATAAATAATTTTGCAAGCCAGAAAAAATTTTTGAGGGATCTATACACATTATTAAATTGAACAATAAAGTGTTATTTAATACAAACACTATAGTTTATTACTTATTACTTTTATAAATAGAAATTAATTTGTTTTTGTTTTAAAATAAAATAAAAATTTAAATTAAAAAACTCACTTCTTTTTCATGAGTATAAAACATGACTGCCAAATGTAAATGTTGATGTCTTCTCTCAACTCTAGAAGCAAAACTTGTAATATGTGCTTCTAATTCCTGAGCAACACTATAGATTTCTTCAGCATTACATTCTCCTGTTTGGGCTAATTCTTCTGCAGCAGCTAGAAGTTTTTCAGCATTGGTGTAAGTGTTCTGAAAGCAATTTTAATACTTAAATTATGTATGTACTTTATATGCACTAAACTTATTTCCCATTAGTAATAACTAGCAATTATTGAAAAATGCAAAACACAAATTTCATAAAAGTTTATTCTATTCAAATTTTGCATAATTTTAACCCATGAAAAGTGATTTTCTACAGCTACCATTTTTTTGCAAGCATTTTCAACCAAATTGACTTATTTAGCTGTGCTTCCATGATATCCTTATGCTACAACTACATGTTATCCATCTGAATGTGAAAAATTTGTCAAAAACTATTTTCTGATTATAACAGGCCATTAAAAAACCACTGTGGAAAACCACTGCTTTATGCATGTAATTGTGTACAATTTTTCTTTATTGTCACACAATTGCATGCATAAGGCAGCAATTTTTCACTCTGATGTCATTTTTTGGTGACCTGATGTCAGAGATGTTTGTCTGCTATGCATGACAATGACATGCAAAGTCTGCAAGTCATTACAACCCTGAATTCTTGTCTTCATAAGATAACCTGTAGCATTAGAGCCTTTAACAATTTAAACGTATGATTTTTCCAAGAAACATCTCAGTCCTTTCATTTATTTCTAGCTGAACTCATTTCACATTAGCCAACACTATCACAAACTTTGTAGGGCGCCAGTTTCCAGAACACTGTCTGAAACCAAAACAATTTCTCTAACAATGTAAACAATGTATAATGTTGAAATTTGTTTGGCATATGCAGAGAAGACACAGTATAATTTAATTAGGCATTAAAAAAAATATTAAAAAAAAACTCACTGAAAATACATGAAGCCATTCTAAAAAAAACATGTGATCTAATATCAATAATTATTGAAATTATAATTTTATGTTAAGTTTACAAAATTGCAGAAATACTGTACTTTCATGCTGCATAATATTGTATTATTTTGTCTATACTGAGGAAAAATAAAATTAAATGCTTTCTCAATTTTTTAATTGTTTATCTACATTTACTTTGTAGTTAAATATAATTTATGAATTTATTATGTCTGATGATATATGGATAGTATATATATATTAAAATTCAGGCTAAAATTATGAATTGAATTGTTTTAAGTGATTTTTTTTAAAGTATATTTGTAAGTACAGTGGTGCCTCGTACAACGTACTTAATCCGTTCCAGGTGCACGTCTGTTAAGTAAAACGTCCGTTATATGAAACGCATTTTCCCATAGAAATACATGTTAAAACATATACAGGTAACCCCCATATAACACGGCACTTCTATAGCACGGATTCGCTCTTACACGGTTCGAGAATTGGTACCATCCCCCGTATAACACGGTACTTTTATAGCACGGATTCACTCTGACACGGTTCGAGAATTGGGTAAAACCCTCGTACAAAAAGAAATGTAATAAATTTTTACATACTTAAGTAATAATAGTTCACGAAAATTATTATTTTCATGACTTATTAGTACTTAAGTATGTAAATTTTATCTTCTCGCCTTCTGTCGATACAGATGGTCCTTCTCGAAACTTGTTTCAATTTTGCCAGATCGCGACGCTTCTGCTTCTGATGTTGCCGAATGTTTTTCCCTTATTCCATACTTGCTTTATTCTTCATAAGTGCTTAGCACCATATAAGGAAATTTATGAAGACCTTTTAACTAGAAGCAAGCAATCTAAAATTACATACATTTTGCAAAAGGTAAAGCATGGATCTGAAGATAATGCAGAAAAATGCTCAGAGGATAAGGATAACTTGCCAAAAATAAAACGCTCTGGGTTAATTAATAGTGTTTTTAGTGATGACGAAGAAAACATTGCTTAATTTATATTAATATGTATCACTTAAAAAAAATTTTAATGAAGATATTTATCTTAATTATGAAAATATACTAGCATGTTTTTTAATTTTTGGAACCTAACCCTCCTTTTCGTATTAGTTCTTTGTTTCGTATAACACGGCAATTTTTTGGAACGTAACTACCATGTTATACGGGGGTTACCTGTAATTCGTTCCGCAGCATAAAATAACCGTACTGTACCATAAAAAATGAAAATGGAGCAGACACCAATTATGCCGGGTAGTCAGATGTTGTGAGGAGGAGGTGGAAGAACACTTTCTTTACACATTCATACAGATACAGACTTTTTACACAATGCAGCAGGTCTTTTTTTATTGTTTTTTGAATTAACACCTGTCGGAAATGACGAACAAAGGTGTCATCGTAGAGATCATTGATCCTCTTGGCCTCAGCTCTGTTTGGATAATGAGTGTTGGTAAACTCCTGAACCTTTCCCCATTCGACAAGAAAGTTTTTGTCAACTTTTACTCCTGATGATTTCTTGCTTTGTTTCAATTGAAATCACCTTTCTGTTTTTTTAGAAGCCATGATGCATTATAAATGACTTAACTTGCCAGATTATATAATACGAATAATTCTTTATTAATTAAGATCACTAAACACTTCTACGAGCTACTCTCGCTCCGTTTGTTTTTTACAACCTCTTTTCGTCCCGCCACCTCGGCATCTACACAATTACATTTCGTTTATTTGAATCGTCAACATATATTACATTACATTTAATGTTTATTTAAATCATCAACATATATTACATTACATTTAATGTTTATTTAAATCATCAACATATATTACATTACATTTCTACTTCAGATATACTAATAATACATTCTAATAATACTAATATACCCTAAAAATAGCAGATTGTCATTGGCAAGGGCAAAAGAGTGGAAACATCATTCGCACTTGTTCGAAGCAAGTCCGTTGCTTGAGTCACGTAACGTTCAAACAGAAAGTCCGTTATTCGAGGCGTATGTTATACGAGGCACCACTGTATTCATATTCACATAGAATTAATTTAACTGTATAAAGCAATTATTAGGTCTGATTTCTGACTGTTTTTGTAAAATGCAATTTATGGTCAACAATTTTATGAAATTACTATCAATCTTAATAATTTTAAGATTCTGTTTGTCAAGATTATATACATATACATACATACAGTCTGACTTTGTTTAGTGCTTCCTTAAATAACGCTGATTCAATATAATACGGTCTGCTCAAGGCCTAAAAAAAGCTTAAAATTTACACTGATTCAAATTATCGCAGCATTTCATTGATTCATATATTACATGATTATTCCCAAACACAAACCAATCAGCAGAAGGTGGCAATTCGTTGTAGCGTTGTACTTCCCTAAATCTATGTTTGTTTGGTGCATTTATTTTCATACATTGTGTTCATTAGCAATGAAATAGTGTCTATGCTATCAATACGATTTGGAGTGCTGGGTAAAACATTATTAATTTATGTTCTATGATCATCGATATTATTGTGTAAGAAAATCAATAAAAATTCTATTTGTTCACTAAAAATTAATCCTTATTATCCAAATTTTAATATATGTTCAATTTAATTCAATTTCATTAATATATTTGCAATTTATTGTAATTTTTTAGATTATTCAAAATGAATGAGTGTAAAAATAATGCAGTTAAAACAAAAATGACACAAAAAAGCATTTCACTTGACATTAAAATGCAGGTTGTTGAGGCAATTGGAAAATGGTAAACATAAAGTTGACATTGGAAACACTTTAAATTTGTCTACTTCTACTATATGAACCATTGTAAAAAACAAGGACAAAATTAAATTGTCAGCAACCACAATCACAATGTCTTCTGCAACAGATAACCAGATCCAAAAGCAACGTTTCATAGGAAATGGAGAAACATCTTTGCATTTGGATTAATGATGAAATCGAAAGCAACATGTCAGGCATATAAGTCAGGCATTAATCATGCAAAAGGCCATAAGTATTTTTAATAACATTCAAAATCAAAGAAATGATACAAGTGAAAACTTTGCAGCTAGCAGAAGTTGGTTCAATAAATTAAAAAAGCAATCTCCACAACATTCAAATCACCGGAGAAGCACAGAGTGCAGGTACTGAAGCTGCTTCAGCTTTTCCAGCAACTTTAAAAGCCATAATTGAAAGAGGGAATTATCTTCCAGAACTAGTTTTTAATGATGATGAGATGGAACTTTTTTTTGAAAGAGTATGCCAAAGTGCACATTTATATCACATGACCAGAAGCAAGTAAAGGAATTCAAAGCTGCAAAAGAACATTTCACCCTTCTGGGTGATATCAACAATGGTGATTTTAAATTAAAACCATTGCTTGTGTATTACTCCAAAATGGCAAGAGCCATAAAAGGAATTTTAAAATCTAGTTTACCTATGATTTGGGAATTTAATAAGAAATCTTGGATCACTAGACATTTTTCAAAATTGGTTTACCACATATTTTTGTCCATCTGTAAAATGTTACTGAGAATTTAAAAAAATTGAACCAATGGCTCTATTACTGATGGATAATGGTCCAAGCCATTCCACCAACTTGTTTGACTTAAACACTTGCATTCCAGTTGAAATAGTTTTCCTACCACCCAACACTATATCATTAATTCTGCCAATTTTATGCATATTAGCTTCGTTGCACATTTCAACAACTTATTGATAAAACAGTGAAAATAAAGAATAAATTGTGCAATTTTGGAAAAAATATAACATCATGAATACCATAGGAAATATCAACCTCTCTTAGCAAGAATTAACTGATGATTGCATGAACAGAGTGTGGAAGAATGTCTGGCCGGAGGTATCAATAATTCTCAACAAGAAAAGCCTATCATTGACCAAATTGTCAACCTAATCAATACAGCAGGGCTAAGAGATGTAGATGAACAGGATATTGAGAAGTTACTGCAGGTTTCTAGTGAGAGCGTTACCAATGACGACCTTCAAGAATTGGCAGTACAAGGAATTCATATAGAACTGGAAAATAACGATTCTAAAATAAAGAACCAAAAAAACTTGCGACAGATTTCCTTAGTAAAAGTTTGGTAACAATAACTGAAATTGTTGATCAAAATGTAATGAATGATCCAGATTTTGAAAGAAGTGCAAAAACAAGATGAGGTATTTTAGATGCAATCTCCTGCTACTGACATTTACTTAATGAGAAAAAGGGAAAGTGACAAATGACACTAGACAACTTCATCGCAAAAATCAAGAATTTCAGAAGAGCCAGGACCTTCATTACAAAATTGAACTTTATATTTCTGTGTGCTTATGTTTGTGTGTTATGTAACATACATTATTATGCAAATTAATATAAACATTACTTAAAATTAAAGTAAAATTTGTTTATTTTTAGTTGTGTGTTCTCCTTTCCCTATTTAAATTGTGTTAAAATGACCTCATTTAATGCTGTTTCATTTAGCATTTTGTCGTCTAGGAATGCATCCTAAGCACTAAACAAGGCCTTACTGTATATATGTAATCTTGACATCATAAAAACTTGATAACTTAAAATAAAAAATAAATATATACATTTGTAAAAATATATTATTAATATTAATATATTATAATAGATAGCATCCATCTACTTTAGGCCAAAATAGTTTAATAATTTAATAAAAAAATACAAAATAATTTGGATTATGATTTTATATATATATATATATAATGGNTTTATATATATATAAATACACAATATACATTATTTATATAGAGAAAAATAAAAACATTATATATTTTTCCATTCTTAATTTTTTTTCCAAGTTAATAGCTTAAGGTTTTACCTGTGCAACATTTTCAAAATGTTCATGACTTCTCTGTAAGGCACGAGCTCGTTGTAAATTTTTACCTATACCTGTGTTTTTCCTAAGAAAGACTTCACCATGATTTTCTAACCAATCTAGTACCTAGTAATTTAAAATCAATCAATCACTAAAATTGTTGCTGAAAAATAACTGTCTATTCTCATGATGAAAATGATGAGAATAGACAATGTCACAATTTTTAAATGAAAACATGCGCGATTATAATGCGCCTGCATTAAACGCCTCCAAATTGTGAAGCTAAATACGTTGTTTTAGATAGTTATACAAATATGCAAACATGCATGGTTATATATGCATGCGCATTATATCCGCGTGTGTTTTCATTAAAAAATTTTATTATGTTCTACAGCTGCTTTCATTCCAAAACGTTAATACGCTTGGAACGATTTGTAATTTATATTCAAAATAATGTCACAATGATGCCAATTTGCTTTGTACAGAGTAGTTAATAATTAACTAGTATTGAGTATTCAAAAACAAATTGATTAGCATTTTGATAATTACAGAGATCAAAGCTAACAATGAATTAGAGTATTAAAATTTTTCTCCTTGAGAAATCAGATCACAGAATAATTTGGTTTCTGAGTTATGGTAATCTGATTAGAATTTCTGACAGTAGAACAAGGCAGCACTAAAACCTCTTCAAAACAGAAAACTAATTCAGCAATATGCAATTCTGGTTTACACAGGTTTTACTGTGCTTTGAGTTATTTAATCATCAATGATATGATTATGATCAAGAATAAAAAGCTTTCAAATCACCACATATTTTATCATCAAAAATACAATAGTTCACCTAATTCTAATTATAGAATTATAAAGTAGCAATTATAATGCTATTCTTAACTTAAAGTAATGTTTTATTTTACAAAATTTTAAATAATTACAATAATAACTATTATAACAATTTTATAAATCAGAATAATAAACAGAAAATGGTCTTAATCTTTGTTCCTGTTAAAAAAGATTGTTTGGTATAATATTTTTAAACAGAATAAAAAAATGAATAGAATTTTTTATATGCAGAAATATTTTATACCTGACGAACATCCTCTTGAAACAATCCGAGGGCAAGACGCTGATGTAATTTAATTTTTTTTCCATGCCAAAGAGATTCTAAAGTTCTGTGATGGCCTAAAATCTCATGAATGATTGACAGAACATGCTTTGCACCATCAGAATAATCAGATGCAGGATTACAGTAGTGATTATTTGAATGATGATTTTCCAATAAAACTTTTCCTTCATTAAGTACCTAAATAATAATATGGAATTATTTAAATTTAACTTAATATTTCAAATTTTATCATAATAAAAATATGAAATAATTTATACACACAATGTTAATACAACAGAATTAATTTTTTTCAAAAAATTAGAATGATTAGATAAATGACGAAGACAGCAATTTGTGTTAGAAGAATATGCAAGCAAATTATTAAAAACAATAAAGCCAAATGTAAAATTAAAAGAAATACAAGACATGTCATTTAATATTTTAAATCAATTGATCAGTAAAAATATTATTTTTAGACTACTATTTACAAAACACTAGTGATATATATACTAGTGATATTTATCATTATATATACATGTGTGTATAAATCCTTCAAACAATTTCAATTTTTAGGACTGAAGAGGGGTATTAAACCCAAAATGCACATCCTTAATAAATTACAGAAAATAAACCAAAAAGAAGTGTTCCTGTATGATTTGTTTTTAACAGCAACTTTGTGCTAATTCCAAAGGACATATAATGTAAGAATATAAAATTTTATTTTAAAAAATGCAAATATTAGAACTTTATTTGATCATAATATATTCACTATACAGTATATATAAAAGTTTATATTAACTATTAAAGCTAATTTTTATATGAAATTTTCTTTACACTATTTTTGTTATTAATTTTGTGCACATCATATTTTATTTTAAAACTTTTTGAGAACTGTTGTATTGTCCAACCAACTTAGCTGTGGCACTCAATGCAAGCATGTGAGAACTAAACAGGTCTATTTGTAAAATAGAGGTGAAACTTTTTCAGCTATAAAAGGGAATATTTGTATGGAGGAGGATTGTTTTTTGGAAGAAAAAAAAATGTGTTTTTAAGTGGAATATCTCCTTCTCCAAGGAAAACTGATCTTTTTTTAAAACAGTTAGTAATTTAGAAACTGATGAGATTTTCTTCTCTTTGACATAGAAACTGTGGATTGTTGTTTATCACATCACAATAAAATGCTGTTGTTTCCAGAATATTCTTCTTTAAACAATTCATTAGTGAAGTAAAGTACTCTTAAGTTTCAAACACGATAACTCAAATGTTATAAAGCTTAGAAAATCAGCACATGATGAATTAGATCAAGTATTGTTAAAGCAGTTTTCTCAACAGAGACTTAAAAACATGACTATTAGTAATGCTATATTGCAGTCAAAAGTGGAAAAGTTAGGAAGCAAATTGGAAAAGCATACCAAGTTTAAATGCAGTACAAGTTGGATTGATAGATTTAAAAAAGACATAGTATTGGAAGCCAAAAAATTGTTAAAGAAGCAGCTACAGTAAACATGGATGTGGTAGAAGACTGGTTGCAAAATACATGATCTAAAATTAAAGATAATTTCCAAGATCATGATATCTTTAATGCAGATGAAACAAGTCTTTTTTTATAAGCTTACACCAGGATACTAAAATTCAAACGAGAAAGCTGTGCAGGAGAAAAATTATCTAAAGAAAGAATTACTATTCTACTAACAGCAAATTTTGTGGGAATGAAAAAAATATATTGTTAGTAATTAGTAAATCAAAAAATCCCAAGATGTTTCAAATCTCGATGGCAAGATGTTTCAAATCAGTTACTGGATGCATTTTCTGACTAAATTTTAAAGAATATGTCAAGATTGATGACAGTGTTATTAGTAGGAAACTTTTGACCAATGATGATATAACTTCAGTGTCTTCCAAAAATTGAATGAAACTAGTGAGAACAATGATGATGATGATGATGATGATGATGATGATACAACATACGTAGACATTCTGATAATGCCAATTTCTGCAGTTTTGCAAACACTATTGTTATTTGAGTTTTTACAAATACATAATACTCCAAAAAATATTTTAAATAATTTTGCTGGGATGGAACTGTATATTACAGAATGCTATGCAACTAGAAAAAATTGATAAATAAAAATAACAGAATTTTTTAAACTAACTATATGCATTTATATTAATGTTTTAACAGGCAACTTCCTATGTAATAATTTGTTATATTTCACTTTGACACATTAAGCTTTAGCTTTTCAAAATTAGACTATATTTTATTTCTTATCTGATGTAACAAACCAGTTCTGACAGTCCACACAAGTTTGTTATAAGCAGACACTACTGTATTTGTATAGCATTTACATTGTATTAGGTATTAAGAGTAAAATATTAATGAGTATAGAGAAAAACTTGTGCAGGTTATATGCAAATGTTATGCCATTTTATATAAAAATGATCAATTAAAAGTTCATTTACACTATCATACAAGAAATGACATGACAAATTATCATCTTATTAAATTTAAGTTATCATATTCATATTAACCATAATCAGCATAAAAAAGACATGCCATGAACAATAATGCAACAGACAATCCAAGAAAGTAGTGTGTGTTGTGTCCATGTGTGTCTTTGATGTGTGGATGTATTATAGTATGAACAATTTTGCAATTCAGTATCACATTCATGTTGTGCAGATACATTATATTTTATTATTTTTAAAAACAGACTGTGAAAAATTAATAGAATTTGTATGTGAATATCCAGAACTTTATAACATGTCTCATCCAATGTATAGTGATAACAATTAAAAAAATGTTTGGTTTAGAAAAAGTCTGATATTCTTCCTCTATTTTACATTTATTCAATGTTTTTAGTAACACAGATATTATAGTAAAGTCATTGATAGAAAAATTTCTGAACATGTTCAGATAGTAACTGGCAAATCGTTTGTTGTTATGTGTCTGATAATGTGAATATTTCATAATTTGTCATGTCTGCCAATCCATGACACGTTGATTTCTTGTTTGATAGTGTGAATCCAATTTAATACTAATTGTTAAGGTTTGTATGCCAATATATTTTATTCAAACTAAATTATGCATGTCATATTGTTTAAAAATTTATTTTCAATATTACTAAACTTAAATAATATATATTTTTCTTAACATTTTCAAATATATAATATATATATATTTAATCAAAATGACACTTTAGAGCAATAGTTATAAGATTAAAACTCATAATTCATAAACATAAGATTAAAACATAATTCATAAACAAATAAAACAAACAAAAAAAAATTAATTATTAATGAAGAATATAATTTCTTGTTCTTATATTATTTCTGTAATTAATAGTTCAAAAGACTTATTAATTACAAATTATCAAAATTTTATAGAAACATTCAAGAAATTATTATAGCTTTATTAAAATTCTCAAAAACTAAAAAATATCATTATTGAAATGATCTGGAATACTTAATTAAATAAAGGAACACTCAAAAATTTCATGCACCAATCTCAAAATTCTAATAAAAAGAAAGTGATAATTAAGAAACAAAAGGCAGCCAAATTAACTAATGCCATCTTAGTAACATGCAATAGTGAAGGTCTCATGCATATATAGTTATTAGTCATCACCTCCACCTTTGGTCGATGGCACACTTGAACTAGATGATCCAGTTGATAAAGAAGTTTTTTACTGGTACTATGCACCTGAAGAAGTAAAAAAGAGTCAGAGCATGACAAATTATTTTCTTATGAAATAGCAAGCTTCTTTAATGAAAATATTTTGATTTCAGATAGAAAATTTTATCACTGAGATTTTATTTCACTAATTACATTAGTGAAAATTTCAACAAATACATTAACATTGAATTTTCCACTAAAAAAATTAAATAAATTATGATTTTATAAAATAACAAACATATAAATTAAATTATAAAAAAATTATACATATACTTCAAACTTCTATTTTAAAAAAATGCACACAATAAATAAAATTATATCTATTGATCTAATTGATCTAAAAACTGCAACTATCCAAAACAGATTTGAAATAATAAAATTTATAATGTTCTTTGTTATAATAGACAATAATTATAACTGTAAATGTTCTATTCGTGTAGAAAATTTAGAAATTTTGCTATTTAGATAATATTACATAAGATAGTCACCTAACTACAATGTTTTGAATTTATTCACTTGTAAACAAAACTGTTTCATTCTTAACAGCACACCACACTGGAGAATATGTAACTTTTAACTCTTCACACTGATTATTGGTTCTCTGTTCATCACTTGTTTCATTCTTACCATTCTTATATTTGATGAAGTCTTGTTTTTAAATGTACATGTTTCCCTGTCTCTAACTTCAGAAACAAACCAAAGAAAGTCAATACAAACTACCAAAATTATAGAAGTCAATATAAATTTATTGCAGAACATTTCTGGGTATAAATTGCTCTATCATCAGAAGACTAATAACATTTAAACATAATAACTAAAAGAAACAAACAGAACAGAATATTAACATTTAAAAAAATTTCAACAAAATATTATTCTTATTCCGAAATGTATCTATAACTTCTTCAAACATCTTTTTACATCCATATTGCCTTCTTAAAAGACATTTAGTAGTTTGAAACAATTGATATTTGAATGCACTTTACATTAAAAATAACAGGAATAATGTTAACATGTTTACATTTACATTACAAAAATGTTTCTATTATAAATTTTTAAATGCAATTAAGTCTTCAATATCTTTAACTTTATAAAGCAAGAATATGATATAATTAATACTAAAACTGTATGTAATGTTAAAAAGTTGTGAGTTATTTATTTAAATTTCTTAGAGACAAAACAAGCAATTATTTATTGTGACACTGTCACAATGCTGGGCTGATATTTCTAATCATATTTTTAATTTATTTAATTTAAAATATATGCTCTTCACCTCAAATTAGTAGTGGCTTGCCCCTGTACATCATACTTTTCCTTTAACAACAGAGTCATGCTGGTCATCTAACACCTTTTAGGGGAAGTTTTGAATTGAAATAACACGACTACCAGTCCACATACAGTTAATCAGTGCCTTCTGCCCCTAAGGATTCCATATCTGGTCTTGTCTTTCATCTATCTAGCTCTGTTCAAGATGAAAGAAAGACAGATGGACAGACAGACGACAGTGTGAATTTATAAGTGTAAAATTTTTCAAATTACAGCCCAATAAACAAGATTTAATAAACAGGTATAGAGGTTATGGATCATATACCACAGATACATGATAGATTAATAAATAATGGTACTGTCAAAGGTACATTACAGTAATCACTCCATTTATGCGATTTTAATTAGCAGAATGTTTTTGTGGAACCAATTACTTGCATAAATGAAGAGCTTATTGTACTAAAACTACATTTATTAAAGTTTATAAAATTTTATGTTCCATATTTCAATCCTTAAAAATTAACAGTCTTGTGATAATACATTAATACAGCATCTATGAACATTTAAACAGATATTCACATTAATATCTAGAACAGTGTTTTTCAATCTTTTTTATCTCATAGCACACTTAAAACCTATAATTAAATTTCCACAGCACATTTAAATTATAATGAAATGCAGAGGAAAACAAATCATGTAATTTAAAGTTGTTTCTATTGCCATATTTCTTGCCACTTAACCTAATTCTTTTTGTCTATATTTTTTGTGAATTTATTTAATTCACAAAAACAGTATTGTTGTTCCTTAAGATAGCAGCAAGTTACAGTAGTAGTTATGTAAATTAATAATTTTCATTTACATAAGAAAAGCAATTAACATTAGTCTTAATTTGCATTTAAAAGTGGCATAATTGCATTTAGAAACCTGCCCAATGTCCTGCTATTTCTAAGTTGAAATAATTTGAACTAAATATAAAAAATTAAAGATACATTTTTGATTAAAAGAAAATTTCATTTTATATGAAATAACCCGGTGTTATGCACATAATTTTGCTTATGAATATATACTTTTTACTACATTATGTATAGGTTTATTTATTATAATAATGAAAAACTCATAATCAATTTTAAAAAGTTTTAATTTTGGCATGTACACTTATTATTTTTTGGATATCTTTCAAAAATAATTTATTTTATAACCTTCAAAAAGTTTTGTGGCACACCTACAATCCTCTTGCAGCACACTGGTTGAAAATCACTGATCTAGAATTGATATTTAGAACAAGCTTTTTTGTTGTCTAATGTTAAAAAAATTCCCAAATGATCATAAAATGTATTCTGCTTTTTGAATCCTAAGTTTTTCAATGCTTTTTAGTTATTGTAAACAGAAAAAGTTCCAATTACAAAACTATCTATCTAAATATGAAAATGAATTCTTATACAGTAATACCCCGAACTTACGCAATAGGTGGGACCGAGCAATAACCGTGTAAGTCGAATTCGCGTAACACGGGGTATAATTTCTCAATTTGTGTAAAATCCAAGTCAGATGTATGTAAGCTAATAAATGTTCTCGTTAATCTTATCTCTTATATTCATTCACGGTTACAAGAAATCACCACATAGAGCCTCTCAAGGCTCTGTAGATATAACAAACACAGAAATAAATAACACAAAATAAATTGTAGCTATGTGTCGATTCCGCACGACACGTCCGAACATGTAAGCTTAACAATAGTGTGGGGGGTGAGTAATCAAGAGTTGCGTGGCGCTCAAACAAAAGACGAATCAACGAGATTTGAAAATCACGTAACTCTGGGTTCACGTAAGTCAAGGTATTACTGTATTATATTTTTAGTAAAAATTTCAAAGAATTTTCTGTTTTTATTGTCAATTTTGATGATAATGTAACTGTAATAAACAAAAAAAATAGCTAGTGCAAATGTCAAATACTATTTCATTTATAAATAATGTAATAAGGATTATAAAGAAGCTAAAATATAAAATTCATCAAAGATCACAATATTTCTCCAATCTCTCAAATTAACACCACAAATAAAATATTATAACTAAATCAAAAGAACTGAATAGTAGTATGACATTATGCTGTTTTACACTGTTCCTAATTCTATTAAGTTCTTTTGATTTAATTGTTCAATTTTAGTAAGTTTTGAAAAGTATCTCATTGTGAGCTGATCTGGCTCAAAAAGCATTTTATACGTACTAGAGAATAAAAGAACCTCTGTATATAAATTAGCATTTTGTGGTAATAATTCATGAAAATAAAAAACAAAAAAAAACACTGTTTTAAATAAATCAAATCAATTATTTATCATTACACAGATATTTTGTAAATTATATTTAATATTAACAGAGACACAGTATTAAAAAAAACTTCTAATTTTATTTTTCTACATCTTAAATTAATTGCATTTTTGATTATAAAAAATGATTTAGAACAGTGATCTTAAAAGTTAACATTAACTTACAGAATACTCATGTCTGATTATTATTTTTGCAGAACCTTAAGTAATTACATTTAAGTAAATAACGAATGGGTGAAAGACTTCATTACTCTTTTTATTTTTAAGTAATACAGCTTTTTATAGTTAGATAAATTTTATAATTTAAAAACAATTAAAAAATATTTGATTCAATTAGTTCATTTCTTATAATACAAAGGGCATTACAATAATAATATTGCAACCAATATAATTAAATTCAATTTGAAGACTCCTTGAAGATTGTTTGCAATGCCATAGGATTCCATGGAGCTTAGTTTTAAGAACAAATTTGATCATTTTCATATTTTCTTATTGTTGACAATATATTTAATAAATGAAATAGTCAGTTAGTAATAATTATTGTCAACTGCTCATAAATTACTAATAAATATAGATATATTTTGAAAGATTTCATAATTTAAAAGAAAACTCTTATTTTTTAAATTTTGTTTATAAGAGCAGGATTACTTAGAATTCTAAGTCAGGATCATGCTCTATAACTGCCAAAAAATCCAAATAATTATTGTATTCCTTTAATTAAATGTTACAACTTAAATATCTCAATTGACATTTAAAATATTTTATTTATTGTAGATGCTATTTCAGATAGTTGCAGTTTTCTTGATCATCCAGAATTCTTTATGTATACTAAATAAATTATCATTATTTTATATTTACATTATCTCATAAAATATATTCTAGAAACATAAAAAAATAATCATTAAGAGATAATAAATATTTATTACCATTAGAGTATATTTATTCATTATAGATTTGATGAAAAATTATAATGATTGGGGGGAAAAAATTAGCTTCAATAATATCAATAGTTAAGAAAAATACTATTCAGCAAAGTTGTCAGAAAAATTAGAGAGATCTATTTTCAGACTTTATAAATATTTATTGTGTAAACTGCTTAGAAGAAGAAAAAGGTCAATGAAGTTTTCTCTGCTAGTTGCAAAATGTCACAATCAAATAGCCTGTTTTATGTAACTCAGTTTCATGTTAGTAATAAGTATTTTTTAAATTTAATGTTATAATTATGATCAATATTATGGCTGTTCAATGTTATAATTATGTTCAAAAAATCTCAGGAACTTAATCAGATATCAGTATCCATGATGTAAGAAATGATAATCATTCATAAAGTCAAGTCAGAAGAAATTGTTTAATGTTGTTCTGTATGAAAAAATTACTATATAAATTAAATTATTATTTTGTATAATGTACTTACATTATACAGACTTACTGAGATAGAACAATATTGTAAATACAGAATTATTTTAAAAATACAATGATGTTTTGTCCATCTTCTTTAAGAGTAATAACGAAACTGTTTAATAATGAATTTCTTGTATTATAAATCATATTCTAGAAAAGAAATTATACATAAACTTGATAGTTTCAAATTTTATGGTTCATTCATCAAAAGGAAATGCTTGCCTATCATTTCTTTTGATATATAAAATTTACTCATACACTGTATATAAATCCTAATATATTTAATTTGCAAAATCATTTGTATAAAAACAAAATGTGATATTTTACTGCAAAAAACACTTTTAGAAATATTATTTCTAAATACAATGGTTAAATTTATTACAATATATAAAAATTTTTTTATAGAGAAATCTGATTTCATTAAGTTAATATAGCTTTGTTTTGATTTTATATATTAATCAAATAATAATTGTAAGTTAAATAAGTTCAAAATTTATGTTAATTTAAAAAGTTTTTGAAAAAATGCAAAATTACAATATAAAATGAATTCTACTTGAATAGAACTTATAATGATTTTTAAACAAGTAATTTAATTTTAAAAATACATTAAAAATCAAGAAAAAAATCTTACTTCTGTGTATGCCTGACACATTGATTCATAAAGGGTTTGATGTTGATGAATGAGTTCTTCTAAATCAGTTACTTCACGAGGTAAAGAACCAAGTTCACATGCTTGACTCCACGTTGAAACATTATCTAAATACTAAAATAGTGATTTTAAAAAAAACAGTTAATTTAAAATTAATAATATGAAAATCCTTACAGTTTTCTATATTATACAACTTTTATAATTACTCTGAACAGATGTAAATATTATCATTATTATTAGATTTTATAATATACATTACAAAAATTACAAATATAAATCAAAAGTTACATAAATGTAGATAGATTATACTAAAATAATCTAAGATTAATTTCAAGCTGGTCTTCATTTTAAAAATTTGGAATGAGATACTTCTGTTTATTTCCATACCATAACGTTATATATGAAAAATATTTTGATTAAATATTAACATTAATCTTTAAATTTTTTTTTATGTTTAAATGTTGCTTCTGTTTAATAATAAGCTTTTTATTTACATATTCTGCATGTACAAAAGTAAATCATTTCACTTATAATAAAACTAAATTACATCAATTAAAAAAATAATACAGTCAACCCCCCTATAACGTGCGTTCCTATAACGTAGCGAAAACATTGTAGCAACATACGTATAAAGGACCTCCTAAAACGTCGTCGCCGACTTGTTCCGCGACAAGATTGATAGAATCTGGACCAATAGTGGATGAGCAGCCGAACTACTTTCCTCCTTGCACATTTAACAAATCGAAGATTTTGGCAATTATTCTCAACACAATTTAAACTGTCAGTGTTTAAAAAAGAAAAACAAACTTGTTTTACATTTAAGAATTGACACTTTTCATTTATGAGTCCAGAAGCAAACCATGCATGTTTAATCAAATTATTAAATATTGGCGCAGATAATTGATGATAAAGAATCGAATGTAATTTTATAATGCCGTTTCTAGTTGTCCAAAACAATTTCATNAGTAAGTTGAGTTTATTATCGTCTGTACAGTATGTAAATTAGGTACTGTAAGTCTAATACAGCACTAATTTTATACATTTCTTGTGAAAGAAACACTTCTTATTCAACGGCCATAAAAATTATTTATATTAATGATGTCTCCAAAGATCAAGTTATTTTTCTGCGAAAAATTCGTTATCAGAAATCGTGGCCACTGTTTCATGCGCTGTTCCGCGACGAAAACAAGCTTTGAGCAACGGCGTAGTCAAATGGTACACACTCAGTAAGTAATCCTATAATTTTTTGTTTATAGCATAGTTTATACAGATTATTCCCAAAAAATTATATGTGTTTTGGAAATGTTGAGTCAAATTAGTCTAGAATCGGTTAATTTTATGGAAGAAATCCTTTCAAACAGCCTTAGTCCGTAAAGTTTACACCTATCGGGCTGCGATTGGCTCATGTATTTAATCATTCCTACAACGTAAAATTCGATTAGCGTGGAACGTATCTAAGTGTTATAGGGGGTCTACTGTATATACAAACTAATCAATAAAAATATTAATATAGTAAATACTTATTTAAAGAAACAATCTAATCAGTTTTGTACCATGCATGTATCTACTTTTTTCTTCAAATATAGCTGTCATAATATCAATTAAAGCTGATATTTATGTAGATATACAATACAATAGAAAATATTACACAAATTATATATTTATATACAGTGAAATCAAAGTTTAGTGAACACTTGTGCTTGTAAGGAACCAAGTCCGAGCTTTATTTTTATTTTACTTTTATTTTGCTTTTATTATATTTTTGTTTGGGGCTTATGTTTAGTTAGGACGAAGGTTTCCTCATCAATCACCCCAGAACGTTCAGAACAAGAAGATAAGAGATTAACCAACTCATCGACAACGAAACGACAGCACCATAGCTAGCATTTGCACTCACGTGCACGCCCGAGCGGCAGAATTGTAAGTCCGCACTGAAGGGGGGACACCCTGATAGATTTTCTAGGAACTTGTGTAACCTTAAACTAAACATTCCGATAATTGTTAAAGAAATGCTGTAAAAGGTTAACAAAGTATTGTCGAGAAATAAGCTACCAGATAACAAAGAGAAAACAAGAATGTTACGTGTAGATATGTAAATGAGGGGAGTGTCTCAATTAGAACTGTGACGTCACCTCAGACTATAAGTACAGTAGCTCAAGTGAAGACAGACGAGGTGAGCTCCTGAACCAAAAGTGTTGGTCTGCTGGTAGCAGTGAACAAGGTGTTGAATAGGAAATCCTAGTAGGAGATTGAAGGTTCGATTTTGATGATTTGAAAATAGAAAAGTCTTGAGTAGAAGAAAAGGTTCCGAGTATTAATTGAGGTGACGGTTAGGATTGATAGTTATAAGAGAATTTGTATCTAAGTTAAGAGTTGAATTTTGTTTTGTCGGAATTCCAAGGGGAATAGTTCTAAGTTAGAATAAGACTTAAGTTTGTCAGGTTGATTGTGATTTGATTTTTATTTAATAAATTTGTTGTTTGTTTATAAATCTTGTACATAGTATTTGTTAGACTTGATTAAACATTTATTATTGAAATTTTTTTTGTGACTAACTTTGTCCTTAATTTATTTCGGTGCACGCTAAAAGTCCAGGCCTGGCAACTAATAAACACGAACCCGCATAAAGTACCCGTTAGGTCCCGGCTCTTTAAGAAAAATTCATTGTAGAGCAACAAACTAAATATAGTACTTTACATGCTTAGCATAATAATAGCACTATTAATGTGTTTTTACTTTGAATTAAGACAAAAGTATATACAGTCAAACCTTAGGTTTCAAAATGCTTCAGTTTTCAAACAATTTGATTTATGAACAAAATTTTGAACACCATATTTGCCCACGGTTGCCGAACAAGCTACTCAGCAAAGCCAGACACTGATGATCAACTTCTTATACTTTTTATGAAAAAGAAAGTTAACAGCTCAGCCAAACAACAACAGAACTGCCAATTCAGAAGTTAGTGGCGCCAAGATTGAATTGTGTCACAATACAAATCAGGACGCCGCCGCTATTTAAATTACATTTTAATGCGCATGTGGGATTTCTGTTTTTTGGTTTGCACTACAGTTGATTTTAAATCAAATTAATTAATAAAAACTACATTAACTGACATTTGCATAACATAAATAGCATTCAAGAATGTGTTTAAATATGCTTAAGTTAAATTAAATGACAAAAATTTATTAATATTATATATTATAATATTAATATTTATTAATATTATAATATATAAGCCAGCTAATAATATAGTAGCCAGCTAATAAAAACTAAAAATAATAAAATAATAATTAAAACTGGCCTTTACACCAAAACTGAAACTAAAACTAAAAATAAAATAAATTACTTAATTTAAATTAGAATAGAAATCAAATCAATTGAAACATAATATTTTATTATTATTTATTATATTAACATAATAATATGGAAAGTGTAGATAAAGTACTTGTCTGTCTTCATTGATTTGATTAATTTCATCCAGGCAGAGTTGAGTCTATTTATAACACTTCTTTGTACAGTGTTAGTTTCAGTTTCGATTGGTAGTGATGAAACGTTAAACGGAAAAAAAATATATATATATATAAAATAGTTATAGATAAAATATTATTATATTGTGAGGCTCTGGACAGGTCTGACGTCAATGAAATTTGTGTTAAAATCATTTATTTTTAAGGACAAAATTATTATTTTTTTTGAGAAAAAAAATAGAAGTTAGAAGTAGTTTTTCTTAATAAAAACGATGCAAACTTTTAAGAACTTTTAAACAATAGAACAATGGAAAAACAAAGATCGACTATCTCCAGATGGGAATCAAATTAAACTTCGATTTTGACCTCTTTCTGCTTGCCCAAAAGGTCTCAAGTTGTCACCAGGTGACGAGGAGATTGGAATGGAAAGTGGAATTGGAGGAAAATGGATAAAAACCTGAGAATTCAAGGATGTGACGGCTTCTTCTCCCTAAAGTTCCAAGTGGCGAATCTATTGTTGTGTGGGGTGTGTGTGTGTGTCGTGCCCATCTTCGTCTCCATCTCCTGACCTCGATCGACATCTTTCCATCAATGAAAGTCGACCACATTATCCCAAAGTCATCGAGTCGTTGATGGAATTGGTCATTTGCGAACCAGGAACACTCCTTGAAAATGGGACTATTTTGGAAAGGAGAGGAAGACCCAGAGGCTGCTGCTGACATAGAACTTCCAAGATTGTGGAAATCTTGTTACCTTTTTACGTGTCAAATACAGTAATACCTCGACTTACGCTACCCTGACTTACGCGAATCCGGAGTTACGCGATTTTCAAATCTCGTCGATTCATCTTTTGTTTGAATGCCACGCAACTCTTGATTACTCACTCCCCCCACACTATTGTTTAGCTTACATGTTCAGACGTGCCACGTGAAATCGACACATAGCTACAATTTATTTGTGTTATTTATTTCTGTGTTTGTTATATCTACAGATACTTGAGAGACTATGTGGTGATTTCTTGTAACCGTGAACAAATCAAAAGGCAATATAAGGTTAACGAGAACATTTATTAGCTTACATACATCAGATTTGGATTTTACACAAATTGCGAAAATATACCCTGACTTACACGAATTCGACTTACGTGGTTATCGCTCGGTCCCACCTATTGCGTAAGTTCGGGGTATTACTGTAAACGGTTTCTTGTAACCGTAGAGTCTGTCTCAGTGCCGAATGCCCACATACAACCCTTAGCAACCGCTCAACCTTCTTGACATTTTTGCATCCTGTCGGCAACCTTACAATATATAATATTATATTGCCTTTATAGGCATTTTTATGCATAAAATACAGCTGAAAAGTAAAAAAAAAAAAATATCTTTTGGGGTCAGGAATGGATTAATCCATTTTTACTGATTCTTATGAAAAAATTTGTTTCAGTTTTAGAACTTTTAGGAACAAATTAAGTTCAAAACCTCAGGTTTGACTATAGATGTATTTAAGAAGTTATTATAATTCTGCAGACAACAGGAAAATTTCCTATCCTCCTTATTCTTCAAAACTTCTTAAGCAGACGTATACAGTACAATTGATTATATTTCCACAAATATCATTTTAAAAATGCAATGCTTATCTTCAGTGTCATCATTTTGTGTCCTCAAACATGCCAACTGTAGCTTTCACAATTCTATCCTAGAATATCAAACATTAGTAGATTATGCAAGGGAAGAATTAAGAAAATTTTGATTATGTTAATTAATTATTACATGAAAATAGTTCTATAATTTTGACAATGTTTTGGCTATTTTTGAATTATATTCTTATCATTTATTCTTTTAAACAACAAAATCATAATCAAAACAATCTGTTAGAAAAACCTTCCTTATTTAGTTTTTCACAATTTATCTTATTTTAATAATTAAAGTAAAGAGAATATTTACTGAGGTAGAGAGTTTTTGGATTCTTCAAATTGTTATATGCTTGGAAAAGTGGATATTAACAATTTGATTTAGAACTTTGGTTCTGAAGACTTTTCATTTGCTGTAAATTTTTTGTTTATTTGTGTTTTAAATAAAAACATTCTGTCTGTGTTGAATCCTTAAAAGTTCATTTTTGCAGCAGGGCATTACAGTTCAAATCCATACAAAACAAAATTCTGAATAAAGTATATGAATTATTTAAAATACAACATCTACTGTAATAGCAGGTTTTTAACAGACGGTCCTACATGGACTCCAGTCCCAAAAGTTCAGCTATATCCATATTTTACTATATTATAAATATATTTTATATGTATATATATATAGCACTATATTATATACAATATAAATTTGGGCTTCACGTATATATACACTATATTATATATAATACAGTGCGCATATATACATTATTTGTACTTTACAAGTTAATAACTGTCCTTAATTTATGAGATATTTACTTGTACTTAATTAAATAAAGTTTAAAGTATTCAGTCAGAGACATTAAATAACTTTCAAAAATATTGAACATATTATTACATACAAGCAAATAATAAGTTAATATAGATAATATACAATATTAAATAAGGTTAAATATACAACAATAAAGTTAATATACAATGGTACTAGTATTATCCAAACATAATATCAACTAAAGACTGAAACAAAGAAATGTTATTATATAGCACTCAATATTATTGATATTTGGTTGAAGGAATAAAACAATGCAATACTTTGGCAATTTGCCAAGAGGATACCTCCCAGGAGGACTTTCTATGGGAAACTAGCCCCATAGAAAGTAATAGACACATGAAGAATATCAGGAAAACTCTATGATACCAGCCTGCTGATAAAGTACAAACCCAGACAAACTATTCAGTGGAATTACCTATTCATAGTATTTATGATTAAAAGATCATGAATAAATTTGATATATGACTAAAGTTTTCTTGTAGAACTAAACAGTGCAAAATTTTACCTGTTCAGCTTTTTGGTGAAACAAAACAGAAAGAGCTAACACAGTTGTGCGTTCATCCAAACCAGATGCAAATTCTTTCCATGCTCTATCTAATCGAGCTGCAATTTGTTGAATTGTAGCTGAAGAATAATGGCCTCCTTCAATGAGTCTAGTTGCTACAGTCAGAATGCGATTGATATTTACATATACATTCTAGAAGAAATAAATTCATTTTAAACACAATACTTAAAATTTAATTGTTATAATTCAATAAATTTCAATTTGAATTATTAGTGTTACTTAAAAACATTAAAAAACCTTTTTTCTTAAAAGAAATATGAATAAACTAAACTTTTATTGTTCAACTGTACAAGGTCTGTTCAAAAAATACATAGACTGTTTGAATTGCACAGCTCCAGTTGGTTCCAGGGGAATCTGCTTGGTGTCGCTAGGTTTGTACAGATCGTCTAGTGATAAAGCCATTTCCCGATTACAGAGATCTTGATTTGTTGATTAGCTATGCGGTTTTTAGTAAAGTGCAATTTTTTCATTTGTCAGATTTCAGAATGAATGACCTGACGGAGCAACGACTTGCTGTGAAATTTTGTGTTAAACTTGGAAAATCTGCAACTGAAACATTTGCTATGCTCAACATGGCTTATGGTGATGTTGCTATGAAGTGTACGGCATGTTTCAAGTGGTCCCCCAGACCCAAAAAAGCTTGCCAAGTTCGATCCAATGTCAAGGTGATGCTGACAGTTTTCTTTGATGCTAAAGGTGTTGTTCACCAAGAGTACCTCCCCCAAGGCTCCACAGTGAACCAGACTTACTACATTGAAGTTCTGAAACGTCTGAGGGATGCCATCCATCGCAAAATTCCAGAAATGTGGAAGAGTGGCGACTGGTTTCTCCATCACGACAATGCTCCAGCCCATTCAGCCCTCAGAATTCGTGAGTTTATGGCCAAACACTCGATCACTGTTCTTCCCCACTCCCCTACACACCTGATCTTGCTCCTTGTAACTTTTTCTTGTTCCCCAAACTCAAAAGACCCTTGAAAGGAAGAAGATTTGAGACGATTCCCGAGATTAAGGCAAAGGCGATGAAGGCATTGAAGGACATTACAAAAGAAACATACCAGGACTGTTTCAACAAGTGGAAACACCATTGGGATAAGTATGTGTGTTCAGAAGAAGAGTACTTTGAAGGGGACCCAGACATGTAACTTCTATATAAAGTAAATTTTGTTTTATGACATTAGTCCGTGTATTTTTCGAACAGACCTCATATCTGATAAAAACAATAAGTTTCTTATGATGATTAAATGAAAATGTTTGTTATTTATTGCTTAGCCATGCTTAGCTGAACATCACATTTACTGTATATGGCACTACATTGAGACAATTTGTTTTTTAAAAATACAGACAAAAATTTATAATAAAAAAAACAAGAATTGGATATAAAGTGTGTAACATTACTCGTTAATATTCTAGAGATATTTTATTTTTAGATTTAACATTNGTTGGCTGAAGAGGGGCCAATGCCCGAAACGCGTAATGTAAAAGGCGTCCCAACTGAATAAATAGTCAATAAGTTGCCAAGTGTTGATATATGTCACCTTAGTGTGTCTGCAAAGAATCAGCTTAATAACAACAACACGGTTTCATCAGAATCAAAAAAAAAAAAGTTTTATAATTGTAAAATTAACAGAAATAATGTTAAAATATACAAGGCTAAAAATTTGTTAAAAATAAGAATCATTGAACATTTCTGTATTAAAAAAAATTATGCAAATGTAATTAATTTAAATACAGGTATGACTGTATATGCATGCTGGATGAAATAGTCCAGTATAAAGGAACAACAATTGATGAACGAATGTATCCACTGATGAGGTCAGTTAGAACTAGTGAAATGCATTTGGAATTGTTGAAAGTGGAATATTTGGAAAAAGTTAACCTTTGTAGAGAGGGTTAGTCAGATATGGCACTATCACGATATAGTGAAGAGTAAACATGGGAAATTTTTTAAGAATTCTCCCACACATTTTTCTCGTTTCTGTTTTGGAAAAAATTTTTTAAACAGTTAAATCTAGTAAAGAAAAAATCCTTCTTTATTGTCACATAATTCCTTTTAATGTGAATTTTTTTCGTGATAATTTTTGGCTAAAATGTTTTTGTGAATATCGATGTTGTTCTCCAGTGCCACGTGATCACCTTTGACGAGTATATCCGTCGATCACTGCAGAGTGGTTAACAAATAAATACTAGACCTTTATTTTATTTGGTTTGTTTGCCTTGAAAAATTCCTTGAAATCGGATATAAAGTGTATAATATTACTCATTAATATTCTAGAGATATTTTATTTTTAGATTTAACATTTTTAAAGAAGTATAATTCCAATCCATTGCTTTTAATTTGAATTTATAAAAACAAGAAATAAATCACAACACATTCTTACCAATGTTTCTGACACTACTGTAGTTAGTGATATCACAAAAGTGTGTTTGGGATTTCTGCTGTAGAGATGTCTGGTATATCAAGCTATAATGATTGCTCCAGCCCATGCTATATTTTTGAGAATTATTCCAGAACATTTCAAACATATTCCATTTCTTGACACTCTGGGCACTTTAGAATTATCTGGAGATGTTTTGAAATGTTCTAACCAATTGTATTAAGAATGAAATGTAAAACTTTTTTCTCATATTATTTCATTAAGAATATTACAGTGGAACCTTGCTTAATGAGCAAAACAAATTGTAAAATAATGACTCGCTTAATGAGTGACGAGGAGAGGAGAAGTCTCAGATTGTGCGCATGCTTCATCAGTCTGTGTTTAGCACTCATTCTGATAGCATCTTACTGTTAGTGTCGCTTGTGATCACACATATTACGTATAAACATCAACAACCATAGCCTGTTATATAATAAACACGCCAAACGATATGCCAAATTCTTGGGCTAGGTAAAAGCTATAATTAAATATTAAAAATTAATTAATTTGACTAAAGATAGACAGTTATACTGCCATCTCATATTAAATTTAATGACCAATTCTAAATTAAATTTTAAAAATGTGTAAATTAAAAATTACTTATTTATAATTATTAAATTTAATATGCGATGGCAGCATTATGCCTACCTCTAGTCAAATTAATTACAGGTAACCCCCGTATAATATGGCACTTCTATAGACGGATTCACTCTAACACAATTCGAGAATTGGGAACATCCCCCGTATAACACGGTGGTTTTATAGCACGGATTCACTCTAACACGATTCGAGAATTGGGTAAAACCCTTGTACAACATGAAATGTAATAAAGGTTGCATTCTTTTATACTTCCATGTAACTCTGTGTGAGCATTCTAATTGTTTCCATGGCTACTTTGAATGCTCTTTCAACAAATAATCCATTTAGTGGTTAAATTTTACAAATGGGACTCTTCTTTTACCTCTAAAAGTTCATTTTAGAATTATAGATTCCTCCATCATGATATTATCGATAGTGTGGGCACAGCCATCTTTCTTTCATCGTTGTTCCTAAATGCCTACAAACAGTAGCGCACTCCCCGTTGCATAGCAACTGCTATTAATGAAAACACCCAAAAACTGTTTCTAGTTGATGATACTCATGCTGAGATCATCATATAGGATAAATAATCCTCTGGTAAAATATTTACTTAAATAATAAATATGTATTTTATCTTTCAAAAAATGAATAATAAATCTGATTTAAATAAGGATTTAACAGCACGTTTTTTAATTTTTGGAACCTAACCCCCCTTTTTGCACTAGTTCTTTGTTTCATATAACACGGCAATTTTTTGGAACGTAACTCCCGTGTTATACGGGAGTTACGTTCCAAAAAATGTTATATGGGAGTTACGTGTTATGCGAGAGTTACCTGTAATTTCTAATATTTAATTATAGCCTTTACACGGCCCAAGAATTTGGCATGTTTATCAGACATTTTATATGTAAAATTTTGTTTTTTTTTTTGTTTTTTGCAAATTGAATTTGCATTCACGAAAATGAAGAAAACATGATAATGATTCCCACTCTTTAACAATATATATTGTATAATTTTCTTTGAATAAACATTATACATAAATATTTGAGTATTTTTTTTTTTTTGGTGTGGAATGCATTATCTTATTTTACATTAATTTATATGGGAAAAATTGTCTTGCTTAACGAGTGTTTCACATTATGAGTAAGATTCTGGAACAAATTATGCTCGTTAAGCAAGGTTCCTCTGTATATTGAAACAATTTTTGAAAAAAAAAAATTTTTTTATAAACACTTATCAAATAAATGTTGTATTGAGAGAGATGTACAATCTATATAAATTGTGTATTAAAAATCAGATGTTCTACCAAAATACATTAAACAAGAAGCTATTAATCAGGGGTTGCCTGTATTTTCATTTAATAAAACATTTCTAAATTCAATTTTATATCTAAAAAGAAATTTTAGTTCTTACCATTGAAGCCATAGTGAAGTGATTATGTTCTTCTTGAAGATCTTTAGCTTCTTGAAAGGAGTGGCCAATTTCAACATAATTAATTAGGAATAAATCTCTATTATGATATATCCAATCAAACATCTGTAAAAATATAAAATAATTTTAAGATAATTACACTAGCATTTTTATAATTCATTTTTTTAAGTTTACAAATATTAGAAAAAAATTTAACTCTCTTTGCTATTAGCACAATAGACTTTCAGCAGTGATGACTATTTTAACAATTTCATCAGTTCATTTTCTACAAATTTTAAACTTTCTAACATTTCTATCATCAGACATAAAAATATTTTTCAAATAACCAATTATATCTCAGAATATATCAATATACTGAAATGTTATTAGTCATTTTAGAAAATATTAAAACTTTTTGCACACATGTAGAAATGGAAATCTGCCTTAAATATCTATTTATTTTTGTTGCTGCAAGAGTTATCTAGCCTAGTTCATTTTCTTATTTCAAAGTTTTAATATTTCCCAAGATTTAATTATGAAATTACTTTTACTGTTTGTATACATGTAGAAAGATCTAGTCACAAAGTTACAACATGAATGTGAGACATTTCTATTGTCATTTTAGGGAATATAATATATAATTATAACACAGTATTTAAATTTGTAGTTATAGTCAGATCTTTTAGCAAATTGATTAATTAAATAAAAAAATTATTTTTTCAACTATGCTTCTCTATTAAAGTATTCAATTACATATTTTTCTTTGATCTGTATGATATATGATATTTTTCTTTGATATGTATTCTGACATTTCATTGATATCGCTACCAAATATTACATAAAATAGATATCGTTATTTATTAATACTTTTAAATCAAATTCAAAATGGATAAATAAAACAATACTAAAACTATGATAATTTGAATTTTGAACATCCTTATCTATTTCTAAAGCACAAACAATATATACACAGTATATATATATATATATAAAAATTATATATATTAAAACATGAATATATTACTTAACTTATTATATATATATATATATATTACAAGATATATAATTTATATATTAAATTAATAATGAAATCTTAAAATTTTACACAAAAACATTAACATTGTATTAAATATATATAACTGCATGAAGATTTAAATTATTAGCTTCCAAAAACTAATTGTTGAATATAGAAGATTTCAAATGTTCTTTAGTGTTCCAATAAGTTCTAGACCAGTGTTTCTCAAACTAAGGATTGCATTAAAATTTTAATGGGTGATGAAATGATATCATCTTTAACAGAAATATTTGTACTACTGAAATATTCTCTAAGAATTAGGAATAATAGATTCATCTGTTAAGTACTGAAAATTTTTAACAATGTTTTTCCTTATAATTATTATTTCCATTTAATAATAAAATTAAGATTATAGAATGTGTGTATAAGAAATTGATTTCTCTTTTCTACTTTGAGTAATGTCAAAATAAATAATTTATGTAAGGTCATAGTAATAAAGTCATTTAAGCTGCAATGGTTTTGAAAATATTTTGTTGTTTATTCAAACTTTTAGTTTTATTGTTGTACATAACTAAATTATAAAAAATAAATAACAGATAAATTTTGGCACAAGTGTATCAATCAATAATTTAAAAAAAAAATTTTTTTGTATGTATGTACAAAATAAAATTAACAAAATCATCTTACAATCTGAAAAGTACATTTTAAAAAAAGGTTCATTAAATTTATAAAAATAAAAAAAGTTTAAATATTTTTCAAAGTAAAATAGACTCCTGAATAATTTTGAAACAGTCTGATTTATTTACAATTTTCAGTCTTACATTTTTTAATAGTTACTTCAATTTCAGCTTTTATTATTGAAATTTAAGTAATCACTGAAATTAGCCTGAACCACTCTTAAGAGAAATGTACTTAATGTTACATTTCACACGGTAGAAGTTATTATCAATAATGCATAATTTTATTTTGTTATAAAATATATAGTGACTCCAGTTCACCAGTTTTTTTTAAATTTTATATTATAAACATTTGGGTTGCAGAACCATTACAAACAAATATATTGGGTTATGTGGGAAAAATGTTTGAGAAACTGTTCTAGACTACTGCAGAATCAGAAATGTGTCTCTCCATTATAACCAGCAATCACATGCAGTAGTAGCAACTTTCCACTGCCACAGTATCCTCATGCTATTTGTTATTCATCTGATTTTGTGAATATTGCAGCTAAAAAACTTTTCTTCTCCTTATCACAGGCCTTCAAAAAATTTCTGTGGAAAATCACTTTATGCATGCAGTCATGTACAATTTTTCATTATTTTCAAACCATCATATGCATAAGGTGAGAATTTTCCCCGACATTATTTTCAGTAATCTGAATCGTGAGAGACCTCCTTGACATAATGGAGGTCCCTCATGATTGACATCATGGATTTTGTCAGCTATGCAGGACATAATGACATGTGGTCTGTAAATCATTATGACCTTGATTTCTTATCTTCTTAAAATAATCTCTGATACAGAGCCATAATTAGGATTTTAGACGCCTATGGCCAAGAATAAAAATGGCGCCTTTTTAATTTTTATTATTAAAAAAATAATAATTTTATTTAAAAAAAAAATGCTATTGTAAAAAATTATGTAATGACATTACAATACTATATAAATATAAAATTTTTTTTGTGTTATTAATTTCAAATGCATATTATTCCAAAACCTTCTTGTTTCGGCCTTTATTAAATTGATGCTTTTGGCGACGGCCACATTGGCCATACCCTAGTTATGGCTCTGCTCTACCCTAGTTATGGCTCTCTTTAACAATTTAAATGTTTACATGACTTTATTTTGTGGCCAGAAAATACAGAAAAATAAGTTTCTCATCCTTCTGAGTTATTTCACATTAGTCCATGCTGTCATTAAGTTTGAAGGGTTCCCCCTTCAAACTTAATGACAGCATTAAGTTTGGAGACCATTCAATGACAATGTTCTATAAACAAAATAATATCACAAATAAAACAACATACAACGTTGAAATTTGTTGAATGTTAATACAATTACAGCATTTTTCATAATCATCAAATTCAAGAAACAGCAATTACATGCAGCATAATTACATGTAAAAAATCACTACCTTATGCATGTGAATTTGTTTAAAAAAAACTACACATGTGATTTCAGGTTAAATAAATGGTGCCAAATATAACAACTTTTCACTACTTTTCAGAGAAAAAAAATCATTGATAATAAGAAAAATTTACTTTCTAATATAAGTTTAAATTTATATATAACTGACATTTATATGTTTAATATAATTTATTGATGCCATATACATTTATTTATATAGTATATCCAAAAATAAATTGAATTTCTAACATAATTCTGCTAATTTGTGACCTTCCAGTAGAGCTTTAATGCTAACATAATAGGTAACAGCAAAACTGTAACAAATACACTCAAGATAATGCAGAATAAGATGCAAGACAGTTTTAATAAATATATAAATATCGACAGAAATGTAAATTTTGAAAAAGTTATTTTGAAGGTGTCTTCTTTAAATAATTGTACTATTCACTTAATAAAAGTTATATTAAAAGTTTGATTTAGTTTTGATTCTACTATGTATATAAATTTAATTGTCAACTTTTACGAAATGTGAAAAAGTAAAAAGTTAAAGATAGTTGATATATATAACAACACTACATTTTACCTTTTGTGCATCCTGTTCATATAATCTGAGTTGCAAACATTGATCTAATTTCACTTTTCGAACATGCCAAAATTGGAGGAGATGTTGACGAGAAACATGTATATTTTCTAATAATCTCATTACTTGTGGTATAGAATTTTGGAAATCTGCATTACCAGGAATTCCTGCAGGTGCACTGTCACGACTTGAATAGCCAGAATCACAGGATCCTCCACTACCACCAACTGTTGCATAACTTAATCTAGAAAAAAATTATAAATTATTATGTATTTTATTTCGCATTTAAATTATTGTTTAAAAATGAAAATATAAATCATTTTCATCATAATAAATAAATAATATCAATTATACAATAACATAAAAATTATTAAAAAAATGTAACTGGGATGATCAAAAAGTTTATTCATATGTAGTATTTTTAGACAAAACTAACTGTCAAATTTTAAAAATTTAAAATAATTTTATTACATTATATATGTGCCTTTGTTTTCTATTACTTTAATCCATCTCTTGGATAGATCTATTATTCCATATGTAAAGAATTCTGGAAACTGTCAAAAAATGTCTGGAAACTTTGTCAAAAAATTTCTAAATGACTTTCCACATTGTTTAAGTTACTAGATTTCTTTCCCTGCAAACTATTCTTGAGAAATCAAAATAGTAATCTAACATGAATATGCAGGGTGATAAAAAATCCAAATTCTAATAATTTTTCCCAAGTGGTCAAAGATGCATATAGTCTAGCATTGTCATGTTGAAAAGGTCACACATTTTCTTTTTGCTAATGTTGACTGTTTTACTTCAATGGCTACTTTAGATTATCAAGTTAGGAATACTATTACTATCTATTAATAGTCTAACTTTGAGGTAGCAGTTCATAATAATTTCCTGCAAGTCCAATCATGCTCAGTATAACTTTTTTTGGATTTTGACTGTTACAGAAGGGTCAAATTGACTTTCTCACCAATCTTTTTCATTGCACATTATCATAAACAATCTATTTTTCATCACTGGTAATTAGCTACTTCTAAAAGGGGATCCATCTGGTTACATTTCAGCAGTGAATCACAGGCAGATATTCTGTCTATTGCATTTATTTCAATCAATTGATTTGGTATCCAAACTTCATAGCATGATATGTATCCTAAATTGTATAATGGCTGAAAACGAATCCCTGAAATTTCCTTGGTAGCGTAATGTAGGTTCTTTTGAATTAATGCAGTGATTGCATCATCATCAACAGCTGAGGGTTTTCTAGATCATGATGCATTTTCTAAAGAAAAATTTCCTGTATGAAACCTCTTAAACCACTTTTGACACACACACACACACACACACACACACACACACACACACACAGACAATAACTTCCCTACAAACAGCATAGTACAATTTTTTTGTGCAGTTGTAATATTTTTCTTTTTACAAAAATAGAAAAGCATAAAATTACGAAAATGCAACTTAAGATACTCTACTCCATTTTTAAATCCAGAAATTTGAATATAATGAACAGAAATGAATAATTTATCTCTCAGATCTCATCTTCAATTCCATAAATATTAAAATTACTATAAACAATGCTAACAAATTTTAGGATATTCCACATTTTAATCAGATATAACAAGGATTTTTCACAAACATTTTTGTCCCATTTTCAGATCTGATCACAACTTTCAACTTTTGAACATATGTTCAATTATGCATTCCAAATATATATTTTTAATTCATATGGAAGATTTGTATAAATTTAAAAAATACATTGAAAGGATCAATTGTACCAAATATCTAAAAACTCAACAGCTTTGCAACACAGTTGAATTTATGTTCAAAAGTTGAAAATTCTGAGAGGGATCTGAATATGGGACAAAAATAGTCCTGAAAAGAGTTTAATGCTAGTTATAGCTGATTAAACTTTGAAATCCTGAAATTTGTTAGTATTGTTTATAATAATTTACTCAGCCTCTTCATGAAGTTTTTTTGAATAACTTTTTTGAAAATTCAAATTTTTTAATGAAATTTTCAGCAAAAATAGAAGACAAAAAAGGAAATTAATGCAAGATATTTTCGAAATGTCTGCCCTCTGTCGAGATGCAGTAGCGCAGTCTCTCTTGGAAATTAGCTATCACATTACTATAAGTCTGATCTGAGATGCCCTTCATGATGCTCTCAATGCTTTCTCTCATCTGACTGAGAGTGGTAGGGTTATTCTTGAACACCTGATCCTTCGTATATCCCCAAAGAAAGAAGTCTAGTGGATTGAACTCAGGGCTATAAGGTGACCAGGCGAGGCCACATTTGAACATCTCTGGATAGCTTCGAACAATAACATGATCACCATAATGGGAATTAAGGAGCTCCAGTTGTCATAAGTCGTATGGGGTGGGGCTCCATCCTGCTGGAACCAGCAATCATCAATCCAATTTGCCAAAAATAATGGAACAATCAAATGTTTTGAAGCAATGTGCTTTTGTGATAGAAGCAATTCCTTTTTTGCTCAATGTGCCACTTACAAAAAATTGAGGCTGAAATCATGCAGTTCAAAAGTTATTCAAAAAAAATTTTGTGGAGAGGCTGTGAAACACCCTGTACATTTGTAATATACATCACAGAATTTTACATTGTAACTGACAAAAATAACTGAATATAAACTATTGTTAATGACTACTAATCGCAACTAGTGGCATCTTATGTAAAAAAAAAAAATGAAGTTTTTGATCACCTAATATAATAGAAAACATGTTTAATATATGAAAATACTTACTTATGTAAAACTTGTTGACCTTCTAAATCAATATCTTCAACTGGAACTTGAACAACTCTCTTCTTCATTCCACTATGATCTTCAATCATTAATTTTGCACCAGTAATATCATCTGCATACTCATTTCTTGTTAATTCTTCTTTCAAATTTTCAGTTTGATCTAAAACTTCAGTAGCTTTCCAAAGAAAATTTTCTAAGGCCTATATTGACAATAAGCTTACATTTACTATACAATATTTATTTGTTTCTCATAAATATAAGATAAAACAAAACTGGAAAAGTATGTTAACAACTCAAACACCTTTTCATTCTAGAAAAAATTTAATGAATAGATAAATGTTTTCACCCTTATTAACAGGTCTTTGTTAGATCTATAACTAAATCAGAATCTAATTTAATTTACCAATAAGATGGAACATTTGACAATTGACAAAAAAAAAAAAAAAACATAATTAGAATACACAATACAGTAGATCCCCCTATAAAACCGTTTCCTATAGTTATGATTCCTATAAAAATTGTGGCAGTATCCGTAAACAACGGTAAAAATAACTCCTATAATACGTAAAACGTCATCGGGCAGCCGAACTACTTTCCCGCCGTCCGTAGCGCCACGCTACGGACGTTTAGGCGGATAAATTGAGTTTAGTATCGTCTGTTCATATAATTATATATAAATTAGGTACTGTACATATAATTATATATTAATTATATATAAATTAGGTACTGTATATATAATTATATATTAACTTAATTTATTGTAACTTTATTATAATTAAATATATATTTTTCGCCGTCTAGCGTCACGCTACGGCGAGTTAGGCGACCTATCGTCTGTCCAGTACTGTAATTTTATACATTTCTTGTGAAAGAAACATTTCTTATTTAACGGCCATAAAAATTATTTATATTAAGGATGTCTCCAAAGGTCAACGAAGTTTTCGCAGAAAAATAATATCAGAAATCGCGGCCGCGGTTTGATGCGCTGTTCCGCGACGAAACCAAGCTTTAGCAACGGGCGTAGTCGAACGGTACACACTCGGTAAGCAATCCTACAATTTTTTGTTTATAACGTAGTTTATACGGATTATTTTCAAAAAAATATACGTATTTTGGAAATGTTGAGTCGAATTAGTCTAGAATCGATTAATTTTATGAAAGAAAACCTTTCAAACAGCCGTAGTCCGTAAACTATGATTCCTACAAAATTGATTCATAAAGAACGGAATGTATCTACCGTCTTATAGGGGTAGATACCCCTATAAGACGTATGACTACTGTATAAGTTTTTCAACTATATAGTTCCAAATCACTGCAGATTTAGAGTAATTTAAAAACTTACAAAATAAAATTCTTAAAAATTATATATGAATGTGTGCATTATGCAAAATACAAATACAGTAGAGCATCGATTATCTGACCCCCAACTATCCGTCACATCGGTTAAATGACCATTCTAGTTGGCAAATTTCAAATGTCCGCTAGTGATGTGGCACTACAATATTTGGCTGTCTTGGCTACTTTAATATTATTTTTGTTAAATTTTTGCATGTTTTAGCTGGCAACACGGCTCGACCATTAAAGGGTGGCCAGTATTTAAATGAGACTTAATTTTCTAATTATGAGTGGCTGTTTGTTTTGTGAGCAATAAAATAATTTAAAAATAATTTTTAACGATACGATAGCGATGGGCAGGGTGCTCCAATTGTATCGTTGTGCTTTGTAGTGAGCTATTTCGTGCGTCTTAGGTGTCAGTTTTGCCTTGCGAATTTACTCTCCTTGTAAGTGCGATAACGAAACCAAGGGGAAGTAGTAACTGTACCTCCAAGTGGTCCTGCCCGCAAGTAGCCCCTCGTGGGTGAAACTAAACAGTTACTGCGTTTCTTACTAGTGTTTTGTGCCTCTTTGCCATAGTCCCTTTTAAGGACTATGCGAAGAGGCACAAAACCTCTGATACCGACGACGAGGTGTCGTCGCAGGAAATGGAAGTTTCCCTGCATGATGAACGAATTATAATGGCAGAAGGAATCAGAGCTGATATAAAGGAGTATATGCTGAACAGTGGCAAGAGTCGGATAAACTCCAAAAGCCACGTGAGCTACGTGGTTGAACAAATTGATAAATTAATAGACTTATTTCGCCACAAAGAAGAAGTGGTACCGTTGCAAGCCGCAATGGAAAACATCAGCAAAAAGCTGGATCAAGTTTTGAATAAACAGACTTCTTTTCCGCAAAGTTACGCACAGGTTGCTGCACCTAAGAAGACAAGTAAACCTAAAGAGGTTATTTTGGTGGAACCGTCGAAAGAAGGAGACGATCCTGAATATACAAAAGAACAGTTAAAGAAGAAAGTGGATCCAAAGATGATAGGAGTCGGTATACAGGCAGTCCGTAAACTGCGTAAGGGAGGGATTGCCATTGAACTTAATAGTGTTGAAGACAAGAATAAACTTCGTAAAGAAATAGAAGAAAAGACGGGCCTTAGGACAAGGGAGCCCGCGAAGAAGCGACCAAGACTAATCATCTATGGGGTGGCTAAGGACACTCCGAAAGAAGAAATACTGGATTGTCTTTATGAACAGAATGAAGTTTTGAGCACAGGTATGACAATGGAGGAGTATGCCAAGGAGATTGAGTTAAAGTTCCAATTTGGAAGTAGAGAGAAAAGAACAGTAAATTGGGTGATTGAGGTCACTCCAAAAGTGAGACAGATGTTGTTGCCAAGGAAAAAGATCAATCTAGGTTGGTCACGCTGTGGCATTGAAGATTATATCAATGTGGCACAATGCTTCAAATGTTGCAAAATAGGACACATTGCCAAAAATTGTCCTGAGAAGGACATAGTATGTAGTCAATGTGGTAATAACCACAAGTATCGGGATTGTCCCAATAAACATAGAGTGGAATGTTGCAATTGTAAACGAGAGAAATTAAGAGAAGTGAGCCATAATGCCTTTGATAAGAAATGCCCTTTAGTGCAAAAGGTACGTCGACTCATAATTGCTAAGATCGATTATGGCAGTCAATAATAGAAATATAAAGATTAAAATGGTTCAAGTGAACGTGCAAAGATCGATAGCGGCTACATTGGCACTGACTAAAACGATGGAAAAACTTGATATAGCTTTGGTGCAGGAGCCCTATTGTTACAGGGGTGTACCAGGCTATTTAAGAACATCATATAGAACTCTATATAATGTAGATGAAGGAGTAAGACCAAGAACAATGGCTATAGTGAACAATAAGTCAATACCAGTATTATTCTATGGTAACTGGAGCAATGATAGCATGACTTGTTTCGAGATAGGGAGTGGTAGTGAAAGCATGGTATTAGTGAGTATATATTGCCCGATAACTGAGGACTTACGTCCCCTTCTCTCGAATTTAGATGAAGTGATTACAACTTTTGCACATAAGCAAGTAATAATAGGGGGTGACATTAATGCACATTCCCAACTATGGGGTGACACAAATAATGATGACAGAGCAGAATTATTTTTGGATTTTGTCAGTTCCAACCAGTTACACCTACTTAATGATCCAGAGTCACCTCAAACTTTCGATGCTCCAATAGGAAGAAGTTAGATAGATGTGACTGTATGCAATGGAAGAGCTTTAAGCAGAGTATCACAGTGGACAGTTGCACCGGTCAGTAATCTAAGTGACCATGGTTATATTTACATAGATATAGATCATTAAGACCGGATAGTGGAAGAAGATACAATGCAGTATGCAGTTAGACATGCCAATTGGACTCTCTTTCAAGAAAGACTGGAAGAGGTTATGCAGAGCACAAGCCTAGATATCATAATGACAAAGGAAAGGGCGGAAATGATAATTACAGAATTTAACAATAAAGTGGTTCAGATATGTGAGGAAACCATCCCTAAAAAGAAGAAGGGAAGGAAGAAGGTCCCGTGGTGGACCAGTGAATTGGGAGAGTGGTGGAAAACAAATAACCGGCTGAGACGCCGATATCAAAGAAATAGGAGAGAAGAAATACGACAGAAAAGTAAGAATGAATATTTGGAACATAGTAGGAAGTATAAGGCAAAGATTAAAGAAGCGAAGATCAAATCCTGGCAAGATTTCTGTACCCAAAGCTCGAATAAGCCTTGGGGCTACATTTATAAAGCTTGTATCAATAAAATTAGACAGCCACAATACTTAACAACGATAAAGGATGGAACTACTTATACAGAGGGAATTGAGGGCACAATTATGACACTAATGAATGGGTTTTTCCCTGAGGATAACCCAGACGAGGATACAGAGGAACAGAAGAGAATGCGAGAAGAAGTACAGAGTCAGTATCTGGGACAGCTAGACCCAGAGTTTACGAGAGAAGAGGTGAATAACGCTATCCACCAGATTAAGCCGGGGAAAGCACCAGGCAAAGATAAAATAGTGGCTGAAATACTATACAAAATCTGGGAAACTGGCCCTGGGTTTATCCAGGACTTATATAACTTGTGTTTAAAGTTCGGAACCTTCCCAAAGGTATGGAAAGTCGCAAAACTTGTGATTATACCTAAGGGCGATAAGGTAGATAAGAGCTTAAGGAAAAGTTACCGTCCAATAAGCCAGCTGCCAGCAATGGGCAAAGTATTGGATTTTATGGTTAGTCAACGAATATTGCAATATCTGGAACAGAGAGAGTTTATGAGCCCAAAACAGTTTGGGTTTTTACCGGATAAAAGTACAGACAATGTAATTCACAAGATTGTTGAGACCATAACAACTAAGCTAAATAATAAGAAGTATTGTTGCGCAATAAGTTTAGATATACAAGGGGCATTCGACCATACATGGTGGCCCCTTGTTTTAAGTACGCTAAGAAGAGCAAGATGTCCGAGTAATATCTATGAAATTGTGAAGGACTATTTTAAGGATAGGAAAGTGGAATATCAAGCAGGTGAATCATGCATTGAATACAATTTAAGTCGAGGGTGTCCACAGGGATCTAATTCCGGACCCCTCTTCTGGAACATTGCATATGACAGCTACCTAAAAACTGACAAGGGTAACAATATAGCTGAGTTTGCATACGTGGACGATACAATAGTCCTTTTTGGAGCGAATTCGAGAAGGGACATTGAGAACCAAGGAAAGATACTATTGAACCTGATCTCAAGTAGGGGAAGGGAGCTTAAACTCCACTATAACCCCAGAAAGACAGTAGCGATTGTTTTCTCAAAGGGATCTACCCCAGATCTTTATAAGCGCACACCTACCCTAAAGATGGAAGGCGAAAGCATCAAGGTGGAAAAGCAGATGAAGTATCTGGGGGTGATATTAGATCACCGTCTGACATGGCTACCACATGTTAAAGCTATGAGGAATGTAACAACAAACTTATTTAATGCATTGGCAAGGGTTGCTAAGGCTCATTGGGGCCTAAGCACAAAAGCTTTAGCCACAATATATGAAGGGGCATTTATCCCCAAGATAACGTATGCTGCTGGGGTGTGGTATGCGGCAGCACAGAAGGTTGTAATTAAGAAACAAGTACGGAGTGCGCAAAGGATGGCTCTGTTGAGGTTGACAAGAAGCTTTAGAACGGTGTCAACAGATGCGTTACTAGTAATTGCTGGAACGCCACCCATAGACCTGGTGTTAAAGGAGAAGGCAAATTGTTATAGGTGGAGAAGAGGATTACCTCTGATACTAGATGACCAGATGGAAAGTATGGAATACGAGACAAAACCAAAGGCTACAATGCTACCCAAGTTATATCATAGAATGGCCATAATGACAGCAGCAGAAGGGGAAAGTAGTGAAATAAACATTTATACGGACGGGTCGAAGGTTGAAGACCGAGTAGGAGCTTCCTTCTTGGTCGAAAAAGAGGATAAAATTATACATTACGAGCAGTTCCGGTTGGATAACCGCTGCTCGGTTTACCAGGCGGAATTATTGGCTTTGTTACAAGCAGTAAAATGGTGTGCCAGTAGTCAAAACTTAAGCTCTATAATAATAAATACAGATAGCAGGGCGGCCCTGCAAACATTGCAACAATTTACAGATACAAACCAAATGGCTCTAGAGATGAAGACCCTAATAAGGGTAAATCATTTACAGATTAAGTTCAGATGGGTTAAGGCCCATAGTGGCATTAGAGGAAATGAAAGAGCAGACGAGTTAGCTAAGGAAGCTACACAGCTAGAAGAGATTACGTACAGTAAAATCCCAATATCATATGTAAAAAGGAGATTAAGACAAAGTACAGTAGAAATATGGCAAGAAGAATGGAGTAATGGGAGGAATGGTAGACATACTTTTTGGTTGCTTCCCAGTGTTGAAGAACGGACTAGAGAACTTAGATGGCTAACACCAAACTTCTATTTAACTCAGCTTCTGACGAATCACTGCAATACGAAAGATTATCTCAAAAGAATCAATAAAGTGCAGGATACCTTATGTGTGTGCGGAAACGGGATGCATAGTCTGGAGCATCTTCTGGAAGAGTGCAGTAAGTACGAACAGGAACGTCTGCAATTTCAGCTGCAAGCGAAAGACGTCATTCATACAAGTGAGATAGACCTTTATATGTGCCTCAGACACAGGGACTTAGTGCGGGAATTGCAGAACTTCACGCGGAGAATATTGTCGTGAAAGGGATACGAGTTGTATCCTGGTATTGTAATCAAGTGTACTAGGTTTAAGGCAAGAGCCTTTTGTATATATTTGTTATTTTATTTTATTTATTGTTATAATTGTACAAGATATACAAGATAAATTGAATAAAGAAAAGTCTCCCTTGTTATACAGATAGTGGGACAAGGGTGATGCTGATCCCCATTGGGAAAATGATGATTACCAAAATGAAAAAAAAAAAAAAAAATGATACGATAGCGACGATTATTATTTTAAAAAAAATTGTTAGGCTTAACATCGATGAAAATTCAATGCGAAGTTGGTTAATAGCGATATACTAATTACATGGGATATACTAATATTCTATACTAATAACGTATTTTTTTCATTTTTTTCGGTTATCCGATTTTTCAGTTATCCAACCAACCTGAGTCCCCAATTGAGTCAGATAATCGATGCTCTACTGTAAAATTATATCATCAAATAATATGATAAAATAGTTTAAAACTGTCAAATATATCATTATATGTTATTCAAAGTATTAGATAGAATATTTTACAAATAGTTATTAAACTGAAATGACAATGTGTTTTACATTTTGTTAAAAAATATGACATATTCCAACAAATATGCTGTTTAAAAATCTGAATGTATTCTGATAACTAAAATAATAAATTTTAAAAAATGTTTAATAATAAATTCAGTTTAAAACTAATACAATAGTGTCCATAGAATTTGACAAGTGCAAGATCATAAAAGTGGTCTAACATTTTCTAAACAAGTTTCCAAGTTTCTAAGCTTTAAGTAATTAGATTTTTTTTGTTATTGCTATATTTTTGTGCATGTAACCAAAGATTGCTGATAAAAATAAAATATTTGCATAATGCACTCCAACGTATATCCTATACCTATGGAAATAACCATTGCTCCACAGGTGAAAGTTCATAATTGCAATTTAAAATCAGCATAAAACCTGCATTCCTTTGAAACTGTCTTTTAAACATAGATAATCCATTTGTTATATGCATGAACATACAATAAATACGTACAAACTGATAGATAAAAATTACTTACCACTCTAAGTTCTATCCATAAGTTATGGTCATAAGATAATGTACCGTCTAGATCACTTGTTAACTGAGTAGGATCAATGTATTTGGAGAGGATTTCCATTGATATCATACAAGTCTAAAATAAAATACAACTAAATTAATTTGATTATTTAATTTTATCTTTTTATAGTTTTAAAAACTTCCAAATACAATAAAACAATTTTGTCTTTTCACTACAATACAAGAAAAAAAAAATTAATGGAGAATGAATAAGATGTTTGTACATTAAGTTGTTGTTGTTATTTCTTATGCTTAATATAATAAATAATTATTAAAAAATTTATTAAAAAAATGAAGAAAACAGATAGAAAAAATAGATCATCATTACTAGAATAATCTAGTTTTCTATTTGAATCAATTTCTAAATTTTCTAATTTTTTAAAATTTTATTTCCTCCATCTTCTACTGTAAATTTAAAATATTGACAATATATAAATAATAACAATAGATTAAATCTTTTGAAGTACAAATCAAGTTATTTAGTAAAAGTTAATTTCATTTTCTATAAAGTTATAACAAGTGTACAAAAACAGTTATTTAAAAATTTTGCTACAAAATAAAAACTAAATTGTCATTTATAATCTTTTTGATTAATTAAAACAAATAAAAACACTTAATTGTATTATACCATAAATCAAATAGCCTAACATATATAAGACAATATTAACTGAATTAAAATAAGAAAAATTCTATTCCTATGATGAATGTGATGATCTCAAACAATCTTAAAATTAAATCCAACATATATTATATTGTAACAGCAATGGGGGGGCGTGTCAGGACGTCAAAGCTGCGAGTGACTTTTTTTGTGAACTTTACAAATAGGATAGTGAAGTGACAAACAATAGTCTGTTTGATTAATTTATTACTAAATAAGTGCAAACTAATATTATATTACTTCAAGTTAAAGGAGGAAAGTAATATTTCAAAAAATAACATTATGCAAAGATCTCCAGTTAAGCGAGGAAGACCGCCACTCATAAGATCGAGAACAGAGAACAAACAAGATTATTTAGGTTCTTCAAGCTCAAAACTCATTACAGACTATGGAATACAGTTAAATAGTGATTTGCAAGAAGAAATAAGAGAGTCTAACCAGCAAAATTTATTGAGTTCAACAGGTGAGTCATCTAATATTAATTCAAATTTTGTTACAAATCTGGCAAGTCATTTTGACACTTCTACTGCACTCTTATGGTCTAAAATATCTAATTTAATAAATGACTCTAATGATAAACTACTAGAACAAATGGTCTATATAAAAGAAGATATAGAAAATATACGTCATGACATACGTGAGTCCAAGGAAAAACAGCTATACATGGAGAAGGAAATTAAAAATTTACAACAACAATTAGAACAACAAAAAAGTGAAAATGAACTAATGCAATTCAAAATAGATTCTTTAAATAATGATTATAATATTAAAAAAGTAATAGTATACAATTATCCTGTTGAAAAATCTATATCTACATCAGAAATATATAAGTTTATGACAAATGTACTTAATATTAATGACATATCCCAATCTGATATAATAGAAACAAACTTAATAACAAAGAAACCTAACATAGTAGTAAGAATAATATTTAATAATAAGCAAATCCATGATAAATTCTTCTATACTTTTATTCAAAAGAAACAACTAAGAAATACATCAAATGAATGGAAAGACATGCAAATGGCACCAGAATTAACCAAAAACTCAAGATTAAGAAGGAAAAAGTTACTCCCAATTTTTTATGAATGGTGAAAACAAAAAGATCAAGTTAAACTTCGTAACGATATATTAATGATAAATCAAGAAAAAATAACATATAGTTTAAAATTGTGTAAATTGGTTTATGTAAACAATTTTCATCCTTATAGTGACCAAATAGATATGAACAGCTGATACCATGACAAACAAAAACATAATCATTTTAACAGAAATATAAAAAATAATCAAATGGTTTCCATTGTAAACTGGAATGGTCAAGGAATAAAAAATAAAATGTCATCAATAGTTAAAATTTGCATTAAATACGAACCGGATATTTTAGCAATTACAGAAACTTGGATTACTTCAAATTTATATTATAACAAAAAATTTTTCAACGATTATATAGTAGAAGCGATACAAGCACAGAAACCGATTGGTCCAGGTCGTCCTAGCGGAGAAATATGCATCCTTATAAAAAAGAACTTTGGGAAAATAATTGATATAAAAAAATTCAATAATTATATGATAATTCTTATCTCACCACTGAAGACTATCTTAGATGACAATCTGGTCGTGATAGCACCAATAAAAATCTCACTCCAAAGGAAAATAAACCAAATAAATTTGTTTTTCAAGTCCAAATATTTAGCAATTAATCCAAGCAAAATTAAAATAATTATCTTTAGGAATAACAGTAAAATATCTATCAATGAAACAAAAATTTATCTTGAAAAAATTTTGCTACAAACAGTGAATGAAATAAATTACCTAGGAGTTAATTTCGATTGGAATCTAACATTTAAATCGTATATATCTAAACTTAAAAATAAAGTTAAACAAGCAATAGATAACCTTCTATTTTTATGCAGCAAATTAAAAACTTCAGATTTAAGAATACATATGAAACTTTACAGCTCGATTGTTAATCCAATGTTATTTTACGCCAGTCCTATTTAGTGCTTAGACTATTTCTACCAACTCGAACAATTTCACATTTATTATCTACGCAGACTATTTCACATAGAAAGAACAATACCGGGATATGCACTACGGCATGAAACTAATCAAATATGGTTATTCCCGTTTATATTAAAGCAAATTATCAAATTCTTTTACAAACTTAATTTCAAAGGTGATAATAATTTAACTATTTTATATCATGAAAATATTAGACAGAGTAAACTACAAAAAATAAACAACTATGGTATAATAAGCTGCAAACTATCTTCAACTCCTTTGGAGTATCAGTTCTATTATTTAAAGATAAAATTCAAGATTGGAAAACAGGCTACTCATTGATGTTAGAATCAGCTATAGCTCAATCCATAAATAAAGATCAGAACTCCCTTTATAGCAGTAAATATCACTCGTGGTACTTGGATATATTTGAAATACCTTCAATGCAATCATATACATGACAATCGGTAAATATGAATATANCTCCTTTGGAGTATCAGTTCTATTATTTAAAGATAAAATTCAAGATTGGAAAACAGGCTACTCATTGATGTTAGAATCAGCTATAGCTCAATCCATAAATAAAGATCAGAACTCCCTTTATAGCAGTAAATATCACTCGTGGTACTTGGATATATTTGAAATACCTTCAATGCAATCATATACATGACAATCGGTAAATATGAATATAAAACGATTTATAATGCAACTTCGTCTAAACAAATATTCGCTGTATGTTAACAATACTTATATAAGTTTACTAACTAAATGTTTTTTATGTAATGTTGACGTTTTAACACCTTACCATTTGATATTAACATGTCCAAAGTTAAAGGAAATTTGTGAACATTATGATATAAATAGCACTTATAAATGCAACTCGCTTAATAGAATTGTTAAAAAATTTTAACAATATGAGTAAAAAACAATTATATAATATTTATAATTATTTTTGTAAAATAATAGAAACTTATAACAACAAAACAATGTAAATTAAAGAATATGTGGATATGTACGTGAGTAATAAAAGCAAATTAAACAATTAATGGAAAATATTGTTTTATTAAAGATAAATATGGATACATGAAACTACAACCCCCATGTAAAAGGGAAGTAATTCCCAATAGACAATAAACTTTTTTCTGATTCTGATATTGTAACAGCAATGAATAAATAATTAATATTTGAGGATTGTGATTGTTGCTGGATTAATAGCATTTTCTCAAAAATTCAAAATTATTTTCAGATATTACAATTATTTTCATTTTTTTAAATTCAAGCTATCTTTTGTGATTAATATTAATCAAAATTTTATTTTGATTTTTTAAACAGATACAATTTTTATTTTCTGGAGAAATTATTTTACTTACCTCAAATTTATATTTGGCACTACCTAAGCTAGTTCGGTGTTTTTGCCAAAAATTCTCAGGCTTGATAATATATGCAGTATGAATTTTAGCTGGAAAATTTTCCTGTGTAATATAAATAATAGATTATCAATTTTCAATTAACTATAATTAAAAACAAAACAGAGACATAATGAAAACTTTTATATTTAACAGAAATCTCATATTTTATTAAATTATATATAGAAGAAAATTACACAATAAATATACTTTAATCAAATGACTAAGGAGATGTACTCTATCTCCTTTCACTTTACATAAGTTAATTTTGTAAAGTGATGAAAACAATTTATAAAGAATTTTTATTTAATTACTCTAAACATTTATTACTAAGAGAAAAATAAATAATTATAAGCAAATACAAACCGTTTCTTGATCATGAAAAAAAAATATTACTTTATTTAACTACATAAAATACAGTTTTCTTAATGTACTGTACATTAATACATATAGGAATAAGCATCAAAAACATCACACACAGCCAATAAGAATAAAGAAAGATGGATGGATGAATGACAGTGGGAGTTTATAAGTCTATAATTTTTCCAAATTGCATTCCAATCAAAGTTTCATCTATGACACATTATATTTTGCCAATAATACAAGTCTAGCATCATAATGGCAGCAATTCCAATTTGCTGGAGTATTTCTCTTCTATTTAATTGAAGATTTAACCCTTGACCAATAGTGTGCAGTGGATTTCAATTTAGCCTTATAAAAATCTTTAAAAAATGTTTGCAAACAATTTGAAATTGCTAGCTTCCTAAATCAGCAGGTCATATGATATTGTAAAGTGTTTTTTCAATTAGACTGAAACATTTTGAGGAAAAAATATCTGTGATAGAATTCATTCCATACCACAGGAAGAAGTTAATAAGTTTTCAGCTAGCATCAATGCATTGTAACTAAAAATAACTCACTGTCCTGTTGCTCATTCAAAACTTATTATACATCACTGCATTGGCCCAGTGATGCAAATAAGAGACACCTTCAGAGCTGGAGTGAACTTCAGAGTTGTTGAAAAAACACTAAACTCTTAAGTAAGATCTTTGGCCATCATTCATTTAAGACAGCAGAGGCAATGGAGATTTATGACTACTCGAATTTTACAGAATTTACAGAATTTTGAATGAAAACATTAATATGAGGGCGCTGGGCCTATATAACAAAGAATGACACAAATAGCCAAATTATTTGGTATTAAATAATCTGAACACTTGAATTAATTAGCAGTTTAAAATTTGAACTCTAGGCATTCCAGAGATGGGACAACACTGCAATATTGAACCTGAAGCAGAACTCGATAATGTGTCGAAAATGTTGGTTTTTGCATCTAAATATCATACCTTACTGGATAAAAAGATTCTGAAAGGGTTATTTCCTAATAACATATAGGGTGGGCCAAAAGTCACTTTACCGTTTAAAAATTAAATAAATTTTTTGCTATTATTATGTTTTATTTTTTTTCAGATTTTTAAAATACAGAATTTGGAAATAAATTACGGGTAAATTAATGCCAGAACAACGTGCAGCTGTTAAGGCAAATTTTTGGAGAAACAATAATTTCCAGAAATGTGGAGTTTTGTTGGCCATCACATTCCCCTGATCTGACAGCCCCAGATTTCTTTTTATGGGAATATTTGAAACAGCAAGTGTTTATTAATAAGCCCCGAACTCTTGCTGAGCTGAGCATCAGGAAATTCGAATGATAAACAGAATCACTTTGCAAGCAGTTATGGAGAGTACCATAGAAAGAGCTCATCTTTGTGAAGTGGAAAATGGGGGGGGATCATTTAAAGTTGTTTAAGCAAAAAAAAAAAAAAAATATCCAAGATGTGTACATTATAATGTTAAAAGGAAACTTATAAAATAATTAAAAGTAAAAAAGTTATTTCATTTTTAAACGGTAAAGTGACTTTTGGCCCACCCTGGACTTGATAACAATGCATAAACAATATTTCACCGTGTTCCATTAGGTCAAAATTTTTATGCTTTAGTCTACTGAAAAATATCAAAGTGAAGAAAATGTCACCTCAAAAAAAATTCCCCAAATTTTTGTCAGTCAACAAAAAATCCCCAATCGAAAATCTGAAAACATTAAATGGCACTGCATGAAAACTGCCTTTGGTTCTCAATGCCACTTCCTGTTTTCCTATCTGAACTTGCCATGTGACATCATGACATTGCCAGGTATGTGGTGCACGGGACTTATTATATGGGAGCTAGACATTTGGCTCTTTTTCCTGAAGCATGCTTTGTGATTCAATTTCACACTGAATATCAAAATAAGAGGACTATGATTTTTATTGCAAAGTGGCAATTTTGGCACTGTACAGCATGGCCTGTATATTTTTAAATTGATTTATTAAAAAAAATAAATAAATCAAAAATCTATTGTTTAATAAAATTTATATATATAAAATAAAAAAAAATACTTCAAGAAACAAAAGGAAAAAACAAGCTTTTAAATTTCATTGAGAAATAAGCAAGTTACAAGGCCATGAACTTGGTGGTGTGAATTTTTGTACTTATTGTTTATACTTGAGGAGGCAGAGTGAAGCTGACCAAATTTCCAAAAACACCACAAGGTGAGAAGAAATTCCATTTGCAGGTGTTGAAAGATGCCATTTCCTACTAATAAAAACAATTAACAGTATGCAGATCTTTTCATTCAAACTGAATACATTTATCACAGTTTGAAATTTGATATTTGCAATTTCATACCCCTTGTTGTCATATTATTATATTCATCATATATATATATATATACTATAACTCTCATCATGTTTTATTTAAAGTTATTTAAAGACCAAAAGAACATTTCTACAGTGTGGAAATCTATTTTTAACTTATTGTTCTAGTCTGGTTTTTGTTATTTTTCTTTTTGTCATATTTTTTGTGTTCAAATATCAGTATGCATCTTTGAAATTTCAAAGCAATCTTCTTCCTTTGAAACATCTTATATTCAGATTTCTAAACAGTGTTCTTTTTAGTAATGTTACATGAAGATGGTCTTGAAGAGACTGAAAATTAACATACTCACCAAACCAGAAAATCCAGCTGTATAACATTGATTTAATAAAAATGAACATTTTCAACAAACTTAAGTTGTCATCTTCAGGTTGAAAAGAAATTTGGAAGACAGAACAGAGTGTGATCTTTCAATGAGTGTTTTAAGATTAATATCAACCCAGTTCTTAGTTGTTACAAGCATTTATTTTAAACATAATCACTAAAATTACAAGGTTAGTTCAATATATTTAATACCTCTATGAGCTACAAATTAGTATATTGGTATCAGTTTAATTTTGATTTGCTGATGAAATATTATGGAAAAATGCAGTTACTCCAGGAAGACCCTACCTGACCTTAAATCAACCATTTATTTCTTCAATAATAATGAAATACAATTACAATTGAAAAAATGAAAGAATTAAATGCAAAAAAATGCTTCGTGTAAAATAAATTTTCTAATTTTATATAAAAATAAATAAAAATTTTAACTTAAAAAATGAATTACCTGAAGTACTTTGAGTATTGGCTTAACTGTATTCCATGTTGTTCCTCTCATATCAATTACAACAGAAAATCCCAATTCTTTAACTTCTTCACTGTATAGAAAATTTTTTTGTTCAGAAAAAAATAAATTTAAATATAATACTACTTTATAAATGAAAAAAATTTATATGTTAAACATTCACAACGTAAAACAAATCAGAAAAATTCTTAATAAACTTTTTTGTAAAATTTTTATTAAAATTATTTATCTGAATATGAAGTCTTTTAACACAGATTTTCAAATTATAAAGATAAAAAATACAATGATTATCAAAGAGAAATTAATTACAATGAACAAAAACACTAATAATACTAAAAATTTCAATCCAATTGGTTCATATTTACATTTAAAATTTACAATTTTTGAGTACAGAAATTATTTATATAAAAATTAAAACACTGGAACTATTGATAATTTGTCCGGAAAAATAAAACAATTTAACTTAATTATATTTCCAATTATAAAAACTGTCAAATTTACAATGTTATTTAATTTAAACAGGACTAATTAGAATATTTCTTTAATAATTATGTAAATTTAATTTTTAAATCATCTGTTCTAAAAATTTGATATATTTCAATGTTCTGAAGAACAATCTTAAATCATTCTAACAGTCTTCAGAATGAAAGATGAAATGTCTATTTGAAAGTGGAATTTTTAATTCTGAACACTTCTATATGATTAAAAAGATAATTTTGAAAAAATAAGTTGACAGTTCATTACAAAAAAAAAGAAATCATATATGATAGTACTTTATGAAAATATAAATTAAACATAAAACCATATATCTTTGTTTCTAAGATGCACCACAAATTTACATCAAATTTTATTTTTTTTTAATGAAAGAAGAAGTTTTAACATAATCACTTTTATTTAATTTTGTTAGGCAACAAGATAAAAACAGTATAAATTCCTTGAAATAAGTAAAGTTTAAAAGTGCTATTTCCATGTTCTTCTGCATATACAATAATTTTTGTTGTTTTAATGCTACATTATAGATTCAAATTGAATAAACAAATACAAACTGTCATTTGATGTTAAAATGTTTTTATTAACAGAATAAAATGATAATGCTTTCAATGATACATCATCATCTTTCCTCGGGCAGCTGTTTCTAAATTACAATGTGCTATGGAAAAATTTGAACTGTAATAAAATTTGAGTAAAGAACATATTTTGACATAAGGTACATGTTTGAAAAATAAAAGAATAAAAATACAAGCAGAAAGTAAATGTACAGTAAAACAAAAGTATGTCATATAAGGGAATGGATTTTGAGCAAACAGATGTATTTATGTCTTCAGTTATTTAAACAACAAAGCCCACAGATTGAATAGCTCTAGTGAAGGGTTATTAAATATTTTGTTTGTCAATACATACAATGTGTCCTAGACAAACAGTATATTGTAGTCCCTATATTGGTGTATTAAGAATGCCTCTGACCATAAGGGCTAATAACCATGATCCAAAGTTCTTTTGACAATTTCAATGGTGTATTTCTTGTGTATAATGTCATTCTGATGTTCTGCTAATATGTTGCTGACATTCTCACAATAGCACCTACATAAACATAGCTGGAGATGATGTGTCTATATTTAAAGGAAATCTTGTATATCCATGATCTCTCTTACTTAGAGTATCAGTCTGTATCATTACAGAAGAGTCTGCACAAAGGTGCAAATAATTGGTGAACATACCTGTATTTCTTAAAGTCTAATGAGATGTAATGAAATCAAGCCTACATAGAGGATGCATATGTAAAAACTTTTTTTGGTTGATAACTATGGCAGAAATCAGTAGTAGTCCTTAATACCATATGGTTAATATTAATATAATTGAATTTGGAACAGTATAATTAAGGGTGGTAAACCAAATTTAATGTAAATACTAAAAGATAGCCCACTGGTATTTCTATGTAAACATAGGTTCAAAAACAAAATTAACCCGTGCTGCTCCTCCCATTCCACAGTGAAACCTATTGATGTATAGACTAACAATACCATCTAATAAATCACACCACTGGCAAATAACCAGCAAAAAGAACAGAAATTTCGCTGTTCACAAATTTTAAGGAGAATGAGTACAGCCTCAGAAAACACCTCTACAGCACAGCACTTGCATCTTATGCATTAGATAACAACATAAAAGAGGACTTTGACAAGGTGTGACTCCTATACCATGTGACAGCTGAAATAACTGGTAAGAGTAGAAATCTACAAAGTCTTCAGGAGAAAGACATCTGTTAAATTCAAGGATACAGACTTAATTCCATCATCCTGGAGAGTGCTATTTGAGTAGGCCTAATTCCCTGCAGCAATATTTTGTATATGACATGCACAACTCTACACACATTCAAACTGTAATTTAAAAATGTTCTGTTCTAAAACGTTTTTAATTTTTTGTTGTTCCATTATATGTTCTTTCAGTTAAACCTGATGATGATGTATGTTATATAATGTTTTATTTTATAAAACATTAGTTACAGTAAAAATTTTATTCTTTTTGTTGGTTATTGGTGTCAGTGGTTGATTTATTTATGTATTAACCCAATATTTTGATGACTGATATTATTGACAATAATATCTGCACAAACTCCAATAATTTTGTGTGTCCCATCCAAGATAATTAATATATTGTCCACATAATGCATATATAAGAGTCGATATCACACAGTAAGGAGGGCCACAAAAACATTAAACTCTAAATTGTGCAAGATCATCTCTGCTAGGAATGCAGATAGAGGAGAGTCAATACACACATCCCTTTTCTGTAAATAAAATTGGTTGTTAAAAAAAAATAACTTTTTGAAGTTATTAAACAAAAATCTTGTTATCAAGACTATTTTGCAAGACCAAGATGATACTGAGACATCCTCTAATGAGACCAAGACTGCTATTACCATTATGATATTTCACATCTAAAAACCAAAACTAAATTATAAATAATAATCTAAATTGAAGTTTATTGTTATTCACATTGCAATGCATTTGCATTTATGTTACAAGCATACATAAAACACGTGTCATAAAATATAGAATGAAAGCTATTCTGTGAAAAAAAAGTACAGTGCAAACAAAACAGCATTCAAAAGTTTTTATTACACTTTAAAGACAATAAATCTAATAATGGATCTATTACAATACTCCCAAACATAAAACCCAGTTAGAAAACAAAAACAAACATTTTCAACCTTTATGAAGGCCATTGTCAGATTCTACTGTAGAATGCAAATTGAACATAACCATAAAACTTAAGTAATGTTCATTGTATATAATGCTGCATGTGCAGGAACACAGTAATAAGTTATAAAATAAAAACAATTACAAAAGAATACAATACATACAAAAAGGTTAAATGCTTATAAATAACAAAAGTAATGATATATCATATAATGATAAGACAAAAACATAATAAATATAAGATGGGACTGTTTACAAAACATTACATAAATGCTAAATACATTTAAATACTGCCCTCCAGACATGCGACATAGGAGCCATGTCTCTGATGTTGATAGCTGTTTCTCTAGAAATAGCTCTGTATATCTCAAGAATCTCCAGGTATTTTGGACACAATGGTAATCCTTTTTGATGTAGAAGGTGAGCCCTATCAGAGTAAACCTTTACATCTGCATCTGATGCATAGGTGGCCAAGGCAGTACCATCTGATTTCCTATTGCTAGAGTCATGGTGTTCTTTGAGTCTACTCATGAGGGGCCTAAAGATAGCACCAATATATTCATAGTGTTGATCGATTCTACAGTTGTGCAAGGGAATTGTGTACACTCCTGAAAGAGACTTATGCCAAAATATGTTCTTTACTCAAATTCAGTTTCAATTCAAATTTTGTCATAGCATGTTGTAACAGTTGCCTGAGAAAGATGATGATGCATTCTTGGAAGCATTAGCACTTTATTCTGTTGAGAAAATTTTAACACCAAAAGACAATTTGTATGTAAATTTATCCATTAAGAATCTTGGCATCAAGTGCAACCTAAGTCTTATACATGTCTTTATGAAGGCATTTTAAACATTAAAGAAGTGTTTAATTAAATACTCACTACCAATTTGAACTGATGTAATATATAATAATAATTGTTTTTGGCTAAATATAATTTATCACATGGTCTAGTCACAATGATTACTGACTGACATTTTAAACAATAAATGTAAGAAACCATTAATTATAAGATACATCTCTGTTTTAAACAAATAATAATGAATAAAAAATGCCTAATAATAACAAATTAATGGAATTTAATATTTAAAAAAATATATACATACTTTCCTAAAAATATAATTTATTTTCAAAACATACAAAATTCAATAAAAAATTCTAAAATAATTAATTTTAATCCATTAAGAAATTTTAATTTTTAATAAGAATTTTTTTAATTATAAACTTTAAAGCAGGATATTTTTAGGAAAAAAAACTTAATAAATATTCTCAATATTTTAATTAACCCATAAAAAATAAAAATAAATTTAATTATTTTCTAATTAAAAAAATAAGCTTGAATTTTATAAATTATTATTTATAAAATTCAAGCTAATACATTCAATTACTTTCTATAAATTTTATTTATCTAATGTTATCATATATCATACACTGTTTTATTTGTAAACTTTGAGTCAAATTATGTTACTTCTAAACAAATTTTTTCTAGAATAATTTTTTCAGGCTTCTTTCTGTTATGGCAGATGTATTACATATTTATTTAAATTATTAGTAAAACTTACTTTCATTTAAGCAAATAATAAATTCAAATTAACAAACAGCAATAGCATTATCACTTCTTGACAAACAATTTGTTTTAATATATATATTTAAATTATTATACAACTGTATGTAAATATGAGTTTTTAATTGAACAATTTGGAAAATAATGAAATAATATNATTTGTAACAATAAACTGTATCTTTTAAAATAGATAATAACCATGGTATATTTGCCAAATATATTAGCAAATGTCTCAAATCTTCTATTTTTAACCTTTCTGGACGAGTACGAGCAGGAAACGTCAAAACTGGTCCTCCACGTCTGTCTCTTCCCCCTTATAAAAACAAAATAACCTATTAAATTCATTAAACTGACTAACCTAGAAAAAAGTAAATAAAAATGTTATCAATCTAATTTCATGTCAATTTACAATATACAGTAAAACCTGTCCAAAACAGAACCTGAAAAAAATGGAAACCTGCCAAAACAGAAAAAAAGTTCTTCAAAACAGAGCAATTTTCTGTTGAAAAACAAATCTGTTCAAAACAGAAACTTGTCAAACAAAAAATATTCAATACTGTGCAATTTCAGTATAAACAGGTTTTACTATATACTGTAATTGTAGTAAGTTAAAATAAAAGTTTAATTATTTAGTAACTAGAGTCAACATTTACTGTATATTTTAGTTAAAATGCTAGAAAATTTCTGAATNAACAGAACCTGAAAAAAATGGAAACCTGCCAAAACAGAAAAAAAGTTCTTCAAAACAGAGCAATTTTCTGTTGAAAAACAAATCTGTTCAAAACAGAAACTTGTCAAACAAAAAATATTCAATACTGTGCAATTTCAGTATAAACAGGTTTTACTATATACTGTAATTGTAGTAAGTTAAAATAAAAGTTTAATTATTTAGTAACTAGAGTCAACATTTACTGTATATTTTAGTTAAAATGCTAGAAAATTTCTGAATTAAAATAAATAAAATTCTTAAATATTTAATATTTTAATTGTAATAAGAATATAAATCATAAATTTTGAATAGTTACAATTCTTTATTCTTCCTCATTTAAAAGTTTCAGTTCAAAGACTTTCATAGAGATATTAATAATTTTTGCATTTAATCCATCTTTAATAACTCTTATAATATAAATAAAATTTAAGATCTAAAATAAATAGTAGTACAGTAGAGTCTCGAAAACTCGGCCTAATGTGGACCGAAGGGTGGCCGAGTTTGTGAAAATGCCGGGTTATCGGCAATGGGGTTAAAAAAAATAAGTATGAGTGTTTCCTCAGAAAATACTGTACTGTACTTGTGTGTGTTGTTTACTTGAGAATACAACAGAGAATAAACTGCCCAAATACCCTTAAACAAAGGAAAAGTACGTCCTTTATGAAGGCATAGAGCCTTTACTACATGAAAATGAAAATTAATGAATACACTGTGTACAGTAATTTACCTGATAAGACAGACCTTAGAAAAATACTTTATGACGCATAAAGCTGTCTATAATGAAAATTAATTAACTAAGGATTTTTTTGCCCTGGCAGGGTGTGGCTGAGTTATCCAGACTGCCGGGTTATCGAGTGCCGAGTTTTCGAGACTCTACTGTAATATAAGGTTGATAAGCAATATGCAACTTCAACCAATTTCTTGAATATAATTTACTTTTTAAAATATGATAAAACTAAATTTTCTCACAGTTAATAAACTAAGTGACTAATACAAAAGAAAAATCAAAATCCTGAAAGAAAAAATGCATTTAGTCCAACTTGGGATACAAATTCATTCTGTATTTTGTTCAGCAGAGCATCACTGAACAATAGAAATAAAAATCCATCTTTTGGCTCATAATTTATGAAGAATATTATAGAGTAATCTGACATATTCTAGACATATTTTTCCTAGAAAGCCCTAACAGAAAATCTTATAACTACAAAAGACTTTATTAAAGTTACATATTAACAAAAACTATAAATGTAACAAACAACATTCAATAAATTAATCAGCAGCAGTCAGATATCAAAATACAACAAGAACTTAGAATAAGTCAGTTTAAGAATAAAAAAGTTTAATATTTATACTTGATACAGAAAAATTAAAACAGTTTTTAGTAAACTGTAATAGTAAACAAGATCATAAAAATATCATGAAATAAGAGCTATTTATTACATGTGTCATCTTCTTCTCCTTCGTCTGGCATTATGGATCTTGGAAGCCCTTAGTCACAGTCACAATCCTTCTCCATCTCATTTGGTCTATAGCCTGCCTCTACCAATCTTTGATTCCGAGGTCTTGAAGATCTTCATTGGACCCATCTTTCTACCTTTTCCTGGGACAACCTCTTGGCCTCTTCCATTTCTCCCTCATAGTGGAGCTCTCATAATGCTATTGTCATTGTAGGTAGCCTTACGACATTGTCTAGCCACTGTAATCTTCTGGCCTTAATCACCTATGTGATCATGGGCTTGTTGTAGGTTGTCGGCAGTTTCTGGTTTGTTCTTCTCCTCCATATTGGTTCTCCATTGACCATGATACCATCATCATCATAGTCTTCTACAGGCCTAACTCTTACCTCTAGTGCCAAATTGATTACGTAATTTATTTAATAATTCGCATTAAACTAGCCTGATAGATTTTCGGCATTCTGTTGGTATGTAGCTATATTGTATATCGGGTTTGAAGATGTTTGTCTTCTACAGGTCCGAATATTCTCCTTAATATTTTGTTTTCAAATCTCTGTAGTTGTAGTTCTTCCTGCTTTGTCATTGGCCATGTTTCACATCCATACAGAATCACAGGTCTAATCAAATTGGGCCATAACAGATTGAAAAATTAAAAATTTAAAACAATAATATCTAATGACTTTTGTTGATGACATAGTAAGTAGTCAAGCTAAAACAAACTTTTTGGGAATTTAAACGGATTTGTTATGTAATAATAATAAGTAATATACAGTAGAGCGTCATTTATCCAAAAGCTGATCAACCAAAATGTCGGTTAGTCACAATGATTACTGACTGNATATTTTATTGTTTTTATATTTTTCAATATATTTATTTTGTTTGTAAAAAATAAAGAAATAATTTTTAATAATACAATAGCCATGGTTATTATTTTAAAAAGTTTATGTTAGGCTTAATATCAACGAAAATTCAACGCGAAGCGACACGCAACGGAGAAAAATGTCAAGATGGGATAAATTAATATATTTTTTCGTACATAATCGGTTATCCAAAACATCGATCTTCCGAACAACCCCAGTCCTAATTGATTCGGATAATCGATGCTCTACTGTATTCATTTATTATAATTATTAAATTTAATAAAAGATGGCACCTAATATTTTCCTTTAGTGACAAATTACTTAAAAATTTAATTATTAAAAGTAGCCTAAAAATAGCCTGATGCATTACAGTAATCATTTGGCATTAATTAATATTGTCAGTTTTGAGATGTTTACATATCTAAATTGCATTATCATTCATAGAGAACAGAACATTTTAATTCTATAATAATAATGTTCTGTTCTGTTCTCTATGAATAATATTGTCTGAAGATGACAGTTATATACTTGTACTTGTGAAATAAATATCATTATATATGAAAGAAATATTAAAAACAATAATGTAATAAATTAAATAATATACCTGAAAGAATTGCTATTTTTTCTTGCAAAAGAGGTATCATATCAACAGCTCTAAGTCTGTCAACTTTCCATGATCCTAAAAAAATAAAAAACTTTTTATTAATTATAAAATTCAATTTCATAAAATAGCTATAATAAGTGTTAAATATCATTTGTAAAAGTTCAATACTGCTTATTTTTAATAAAAGCAAATTTTAGAATTTTTCATAATTTCATCTTCAGAAAACCTGAGTAAATTATTACAAAAAAAATTGTTAATTACAGTAAATTCCCAATTATCCGTGTGCGGATTATCCAGTTTTTGGATTATCCATACATGAATTTAATTTTAAAAAGTATTTATATGTGTATGTATTTTTTAAATAGTTGCTTGCTTTCATGTTTACACATCCTATAAGTATGCACGTGTTCATATTTAGATGTTTGAAGCAGGTGGTGGGGGTATCTGAAGTCAGCTGGACTGGTTTTAGTTAGGCCATTTCTTTCATGCCGAACGTTTCTTTTTGGAGGAGAAAATGATAGTGAGTACATTTATACAAAGTTTCATTTAGTTGCATGTTATAATACGTATTACAATTTAAGATTTGATATAACTCTCCCACAAATACTTTAGGTTAATTATATCTAACATTAAATATGTCTGGAAGAGAACATATTTAATCTTAGATGGGGAGTGTAACTGGCAACGCATTTGCATGGTAAGCAGAAGTGTGGGATTAAGTCCAGTTCCGACAGTACTTACCATACATCAGCCTATACCAAAGATACGTGGACAACATCTTTATACTTTGAAAAACCACACCGAATCTCGACGAGTTTTTGTCATGAAAGAACGACAATGCTTACGGCCTCACTCTTGGCTTAGATCAGGTTAGCAACTCGCATGCACATTTTCTGGATATTGACATACATCTCAGGGATGGCAAGATAGAAATGAGCGTTTACCGTAAACCGGACCAGCATCCACTTTTCATCCCCGCAAACTCTTCCGACCCCTTTGCCTACAAAATTGCAGCCTTCTGGGCCCTAACCAGATGGGCTTTCACACACTACATGAATGCTCACGACACGTGGTTAGAGCTCTGCCGCATAGAAAAAATTGCTGTTGAATATGGCTACAGTAAAGGCATAATTTGCAGTTTAGCCATGCCTGCGCCAACTGTCCCCCACGCTGCAGTGGCAGACCCCTGCCTACGCCGAATGACGACCACCAACCCGTCATGAATGATAGATGCACAGTCGTCCAGTTCAACCAACATTTAGACCCCCTATACAGGGAGATTGCTTGCCGTAATCGTACGAAGATCACGTATAGGAGAACCGGCATTATTTACGACCTGCTGTGCAACGCCAAGGACACGATAGATCTCAACAGGGCACCAGAAGTATACTCCATTCCCATCAGGGACGATAGAGACTTAGTTTACATTGGCTCCACCATTCGCTCTACACAAAAATGGTTACATGAACATCAATCAGATATTAAAAATAACAGGTTCACCACTGCCTTGTCGGCCTATGTTACCGACCCTGAAATTTGGGCGGACTTCCAAAACACCAAAGTAATCAGATAGGCATTTCATATTGATCACATCTGTCACCTGGAGGCCTGGGAGATTTATAAAGCCAACATTGGGGGCACCTGCATCAACTTTAAAGACAGTGAAACCATCGTGCAGGCATGGAGATACTTATTCGAGGAATTCGAGCTGGGACAGGTGGAAGGATAAAACGCAATACGTGCATTATTTACATCTTGGGCGGCATCGTTCCAACAGTCAAGAGGAAACACCGTTTAGTCGCCACCTGAAGAAGATCTCAGTAGAGGTCGAAAACGTTTGTGAAGTTTATTACAGAGACAACACTGTTATAAAAAAGGTTTTGTGGATTGTTACAAATACTTTTAGTGTAAAATTACATAAAATAAGATGCTTTTTTTAATTTTCAGATAAGTACCCTTAAAATACCTAATAATGGAAAGAAAGTCGTACTTACTATAAAACAAAAACTAATGTTAATTGAAAAATTTGAAAAAGGTGAATCTACATCGAATCTACATGTTGTATTTTAGAAATAAATAATTATAGTTCAGATTATCCATGTTTCTGGATTATCCGTGCCACCTCTCTCCACCATTAGCATGGATAATCAGGAGTTTACTGTATTTCAACTTTCTGGATGTGCTGAAAACATCCATATAATAAGGTAAATGCTGATGAAAAATTTTAAAATCAATTTAAAAAAAAAGTTACAAAAATATGCTTTGCTAATGATTTTGTATAGGCCTTTTCATCAGAAAAACACTCAAATACAAGTAGTTATTGTTATGTAGTTATTCAAGATATATAAAACAAACATTCTGCCTTTTAATATCTGTCATTTGAAACTTATAACTGAACTGAAAACTTTGATTATAAAAAAAAAAATATGATTTACTACTGAACTACTGTAATAGCAACTGCATCTTACATAATTTCTAAGTTTAACTTTTCTATAGTCAAGTTGATTTTTATCTGAAAATAAAAAAAAAAAAAAAAAAGTTCTTCACAATCTGTATAAAAATTGGTATCTAATGTTTTGGTACATTACTCAAAGTATTTTAAAGAATTTTTCTTTAGTTTTAAATTTTTATAAATTTTTTACTGTATGGTCTCAAAATTGCTTTTCTTTATAATTTTGATACTGTGATGCAACTACATTTTTTTGTACTTTATAAAAATGTACATAAAAAATAACAGTAAAAGATTACTCTTTAAAATACAAACTATTGTGTTCTATGGCTCTTATTATAACAGTCATTTTTTCATAGATATTCTATTTATTGCAATACAGTAGAGCATCAATTATCCGACTCAATTGGGGACTCAGGTTGGTCGGATAACCGAAAAGAAGGGAAAAGATACATTATTAATAGAGTATATTAGGATATTAGAGAGGTTGAGGCGCACGTTTTAAACGTGTAAACGTGTACGTGTGACGTTCGGCGCCGCTTTCCCGTAAGCCTAAAAGTTTGACGATGGTGTTTGGAATGTCGAGCGTGATTCCACCGACTATCCAAACACCATTGTCAAACTTTTAGGCTTACGGGAAAGCGGCGTCGAACGTCACACGTACACGTTTACACGTTTAAAACGTGCGCCTCAACCTCTCTATTAGTATATCCCATGTAATTAGTTTATTAGTATATCACTATTAACCAACTTCGCATTGAATTTTCATTGATGTTTAGCCTAACAAATTTTTTTTAAAAATAATAATCATCATTATTGTATCGTTAAAAATTATTTTTAAATTGTTTTATTGCTCACGAAACAAACCACCACTCATAATTAGAAAATTAAGTCTCATTTAAATACTGCCCTCCCTTCAATGGTCGAGCCGTTTATGCCAGCTAAAACATGCAAAAATTTAACAAAAATAATATTAAAGTAGCCAAGACATAGCCAAATATTGTAATGCCACATCACTAGTGGACATTTGACATTTGCCAACTAGAACGGTCGGTTAACCAATGTGACGGTTAATCGGGGGTCGGATAATCGATGCTCTACTGTATATACAGTATAAATGCTTTAAAAAAGTAATAAAGATATTCAAACAATCAAAATGAATAAGTGAGAGCAGTGAAAAACCACCAATGCCATACTTGTCTTCTCAATCTTCTATCAGATGTTTTTGCTGCCATTCTACATAGTAGATTGGCAGGAAAAGAAAACACTTTCTGCCTGCTCTTACTCTTTTTTTTCTCATAGGTATTCTATTCTAAACTTTTTACAATCTATTCTATTTCATCTCTTCAAACCACATGACTCTACTAAACTACAAATTAGGTTCTCTCATTTCTCAAGTCCTCTACTTTAGATGTCACAACCATTGCTCTCTACACTAGGTTCCTGAATGCTACCATAACATATTGCCTTGCATCTTAGAATGTGCTTAATACATAAATAGGTTTGTAGGGTATAGAAACATCACATACTTCTTATCTCCTTTTCTAACCATAATATCCAAAAAATATACTGATATTTTCCATCTCTGCACTTATCCAGTGTCAGGTTTACACTATCATCTGAAAAATCAGCACAAAGGACTAATTATCTTCTCATTCCAAATTATAAAAAAAGTAATATGGTAGCCTCTTAAAATTGTAAACATAGCTTAAGCCTTAGTAAATCCAAACCAAAGATTTAATTTAATATTGAAAACATTTTGACTAACATTTTCAATCATTACCAATCTTCATCAGGTCATTAATGTTCTATAAATGGAATGATATATATTAGTTTTAAATTTTATAGTGCATTGAAAAAAGCACTATAAAATTTAAAACTAATATATATCATTACATAATTGACAAAGTATAATGCTTTTTTAACTTAAGAGTAGTTTTGTCAACAAAATAACTACTAGTTATTGCTGGAAAAAAATTAGTAAATAAAATGCACATTCATAATAGACAAACTGCCCAGAATGAAATTAATGAAAGTGGACGATGTTGGTTTATTATAAGAAATGTTGCCAGGCATATTAAAGATTCTGTTCTTCTCTAATTTATTTACCTGTATATGTTAGTTTTAAATTTTGTAGTGCATTCTTCAATGCATTCCATTTATAGAACATTAACGGCCTGATGAAGATTAGTACTGATTGAAAACATTTTCAATATTAAATTTTTGTTTTGAATTTACTAAGATTTAAGCTGCATTATTATTCAGTAAGACCAGTTAAGTTGGAATCTCTTAAAATTGGATATATAATCACTATAAAACCACAAATACCTTTAAAATTCAGTTCAGCATTTAATTGAATGATGAGATTATATACACTGACAAACATTTTTGTTCTTAATCGAATATTCAAGTTAGGATTGAAAATGTTTGTTAGTGTGTGTGTGTGTGTATATATATATATATATACTGGTGTGCAAAACTTAAGGAATAATGCAATTTTTAAGCAGACAGCCATGAAACTGTAGAAAAGGGCTTGTTGCAATCAGTACAATAAACACCCAACTCAGTAGAAACATGATTCATATTCAGGAAGAAGACATCACAGATGACGTGATGGCACGTAGAA